AGCTTTTTACCATTCATCTCTTTCAAGGTCCATCTCAAAACCTTCCTCTTTGATCTTGTCTGGTCATTGTTCCCCTCCACCTCCCTTGGCCCCTTACCCCCAGCTCAGGTGCCAAGTGAGGACTGTCAAGTGCCTTGGGATGGCCTCCTGATATGAAAGGCGCTGTATAAATGTAAATTTCTGTTGTATTTATTTTCGTTTGGAGTTTATGATATTGGCATTGAGTTCTTATCGCCCAGAATTTCTCACTCACTGCTATCTTTTTTCCTCTCCCTTTCTTTTCATAAAATCACAAGATCAGTTCAGGTGAAGATGACTATTTGGCTCATTTGATCTCATCCTTCCAGATGATCCACCCTACCTACCATCCTCCCCTTCACAGCATCATGCTGCTTTTTACATGAGAACTGCCTCTCCTTAACCACCCTTCCTGGTAACCTGTTCTGGATGTTAATTCCCCTCTGGGTAAAGAAACACATCCTGGTGTCTGACCTGAAATGACCCTTTGTTACTTCTTCTTCTGCTGTCTCAGTGCATATGTAAGTATTGTTCTGAGTTTATTTTCTCAATTCCATTCAAAATTTTATATACTTCAATTTGACAAAGCGAATTGCTCGACAGACATCAAAAGGGTTTGTTTGCAAGTCTTTGATAGTGAACAGACAAAAGGGTTTGTTCACTATCATGACAGTTTTGTTGGTGAAACGGGGAATTGTCAGCCACTGGTTCGCTTTCCTTCATTTTACTTGGGAACGATCATGTTAACTAGTTCTGTGCCTGTCTATCAGGATCTTTGCACACGTCATCCTCTAGATAGCAAACTAAGCCAGAGGAGTTTAACCAGCACAGTGTGCAATCTCTGATTTCCTGAATGAAATCAAAACATTCAGGAAATTGAAACCACTTAAGCTAAATCTCCAATTCTTTCACCTGAATCCCCACGTCTCTGAGGAGTGGGATGGATTACTGCCCTACTGCATAAACCTATATCATCACTGGTTTTAGGCTCAAGATTTACATTGCCTTAAAAATTTAACTCATGCGTCATTTTGCAAAAGTCTTAAACACAGTCTTAATCTGGATGGTGATTTTCCATATTTCTACTAGAAACTCAACTCAATATACTCCATAGTGGAGTCCTGTAGCTCAGTGGTTAGAGCACTCTATTCGCAAGAGAGATCTGGGTTTGATTTCCGCCAGGGCGAAACCTTGGGCAAGTTTCCTTACTCACACACCTGATAATAATACCTCAAGGAAATAAATAACATAACGATTTGGTCACTCAATCCACGACTGTTTGTGGGACACTGCTGTGTGCAATTGGCTGCCACGTTTTGCCCATAAATATACAGTCATTTCACTTTACAGTATATTCTGTGAAGCACTTTGAGTGTCTAGAAGACATGAAAAGCGCTATATCAAATGCAAGGATTATTTATTATTTTTTATATTCCTAAATTCTTGGCAGAGGGAAGATGAGGAGAATTTTTTTTACAGAGCGAGTTGTTACGATCTGGAATGCACTGCCTGAAAGGCTGGTGGAAGCAGATTCAATAATAACTTTCAAAAAGGAATTGAATATTGAAAAGAAAAAAATTGCAAGGCTGTGGGAAAAGAGCAGGGGAGTGGGATTAGTTGGATAGCTCTTTTAAACACGCAGCACAGGCATGATGGGCCGAATAGCCTCCTTAATAATAATAATAATAATCCTTGCATTTGACATAGCGCTTTTCACGTCGGGAGGACGTCCCAAAGCGCTTCACAGAACACACTGTAAAGTGAATTGACTGTATATTTGTGGGCGAACGCGGCAGCCAATTGCGCACAGCAATGTCCCACAAACAGCCGTGGATTGAAAATGACCAATTTATTATTGTTTTTGGTTTTGGAGGAATTATTATTAGGCGTGTGGAGTAAGGAAACTTGCCCAAGGTTTCGCCCTGCCTGGAATTGAACTCGGATCTCTCGCTTGCAAAGCGAGTGCTCTAACCACTGAGCTACAGGACTCCTTCTATGTTGTAGGATCCTATGATTCCAAATGTATTCCAAGTAAAAATGTAAATTTTTTAAAAAATTCTTAGTGTTGAAGCTAGTCCTTTTTAAAAATAATAAAAGTGCAGCAAACCATTTGAGATTTTCTAACAGTCACTGGGGGCAGGGAATACCCCCACTCAGCTCTTGTTAATCCTGCAAGCCAAAGCCCTAACAGGTAAACTTGTCCTAGTTGGACAAGCAATGGGGAAAGTTTGCCAGATAGCAATATCTGGGGTCCCAAAGCCTTGGCTCCTGTAAAGTGGCTAGTGACATCATTATAATTGCTGACTACACTTTGCAGGACGCCAGCTTAAGGTTAGCAACTCTGACTCCTCCTGTACTGCACTGGAGCTTGGCTCTTACCAATCAGTCTTGGCTCTTACCAACCTAATTCTTTCCAGAATTAGGTTTTATAAGAGCTAAGTTGATACAGAGCCTTACCACACTGTTGAGATGTCTTTCCAGAATTAGGTAAGTAGGATGTGTCACTGCAGGGAGAGAGTGCACATTCCATTCCAATAAATATCTCCGGGATTTCCATGTGTAGGTGGGATGCATGGAAATCTCAGTTTGGTTTGGATACTCTTAAGCATAGTGATGGGTTTCCGCATGTGTCAGACACCTGGCCGACCAAAAAAAAACTGGCTTAGGTTGGAAAGAGCGGAGGTTAAACAAAGGCCATGGTGTCAATGGACAGACCATGACAACAGATGTCAATTTCTTTCAGGTTAATAATAATAATAACAATCCTTGCATTTGATATAACGCCTTATCACTGTTGAGATGTCTCAAAGTACTTCATAGATATACTGTAAAGTGAATTGACTGTATTTTGTGGGCGAAAATAATTTGAGATTTTTTTTGTGGAGGAGGGGATGGGGGGCTGCGATGTTAAGACAATATCTTTTTACAGGCTGAGGCTAAGTATAATTAGGGGTGTAAGATGTTCTTCTCCATTGGCTATATATAGGAGATTTATTGATGTGGTTCTCTCTCCCTGGTTCAGCCAGTCCTTGGGAGATTCAATGACGGAAGTGTTTGGGATGTCTGAAGAGTCTGGTGCCTCCGTCCATGACACCAGAGGGATCGGTGTACAGAGGGGAAGCGCCTTAAACGGGAGATTTTTTATAAGGATTTTTTTTGGCAACTTTTTGCATTCACATCTGATGGCTGCAAGATCGCCGAAAAGTGAAGGCTTTCCTTCCTCCAGCCCCCCCCGCCCCCGAGTTGAATCACTGTAGCAGCTGAGAATTGCACATTAGTTGTTGTTTCTTTATTTTAAATAAAACATTATTTTAATTTAGCAAAACTAAGCAATTCTTCATAACACTCAGATATACAGTAGCGAGACAGTGCATACAGTGATGTGTGTCCAGCCCTCAGTGTATTGCAGGGACCTGATTAATGCTGAAATAGACAAATACCCAGTCAGACTGCAGCCCTTTAGTGTTTCGGTAAAACACACTCATTTTCACTTATATATAAAAAGAAGCAACTATGTGTGTAATAATAATTGTTATTCATTAACAGTAATTATATTATATATTAATATAATTATTATAAAATAATAATAATTATATTATTATATAATAATTATTATTATACATATTCTGCACAATCTTAACCTTGTGCTAAAACCGTAAGTATTTCCAGGTCACTGTTAATTATTACTATAAATAATAATTACAATAATTATGTATTGCACTATTATAACTAATTATACAATGATAATTATTACTATAAACATTACTATAATAATTATTATTACATTTATATATATTTTCTGAACGAATCTACTGTTCAAACTGTTTTAAAATTCAAAGCTTCTTTTTGTACATAAATAAGTGAGTTTTTAAACCAATATTACAGCAATAATAATCATTATTATATTAATACACACAAATTATTACTAATTATGATATTATCATATATGAATTATTATAATTGTAACAATTATAATCTATAGATAGATAGATACACACTACTACTAATAATAATGACAGCATTATTATGATGTATATCTATCTATAGGGCAGAGAGCGTTTCATTACCCACAGAAAAAAACATTTCCTAAAGCTGGGCGATGTCAGTGTCTGTGCTGCTGGTGAAGTCGCTGTGAGTGAAGTGACAAGAGATACTGTGAAGCAATGTATCAAAGATAACAAGACATCACAGCCTGGCTCATCCCAGAGACTAACCCCAAAGCCCACATCAGGCAGCTCCAGTCACACTGCCACTTGCTGCGGCACTTCTCATTCCGATTAACACCATCCTGACCAGACCAGGGCTTTGCACAGCCTCTTGTCAGCTCTTTCTCTCCTTTTAGCCAGTTTTTGGCTGTAAGCGAGAGCCAGGCACCAGCCAGCGACGGGACATCTGGGAGGTTTAGAAAAAAAATTGCAAAAGGTCTCTGGTTACTCACACCCCTTCTCGAGTTTCTGGTCCTCTCTCTCTAACTCCCTCTCTCCTTCCTGCTGTCCTATTGCACTCTGGCTGAGGCTGTGAAGAGTGTGCAGCAAGCAGTCTGTCTCTCTCTCTCGCTCCCTAAGAGCCTCCACTTAACATCTGAAAGTATCAAGAAGGCAGCAAAGCTAACTACCTATTGCCAGCGGACAGACACACACCACAACCTGCAATCCCTGTCCTTCCTCACCAAGAGGTGGGGAAGAGATAGAGAGAGAGAGAGGATCGAAAAGAAAGCAGGCACCAAATACCAAGTCTGCAACTATCCTTGGAAGAGAAAATCTTCGTGGAAGAGAAGATTGAAAGAAAGCAGGGACGAGACACCAAGTCTCCAACTCTCCTTGGAAGAGAGGCTCGAAAAACAAGCAGGGACCAAACACCAAGTCTTCAACTAACCTTCTGACAGGAGATCTTGGTGTGTGTGGAGGGAGAGAGGGGGAGAGGGGGATGTGGGGGGTTGATGCAGACAGACTCCCTCTGTATGACTGACTGCTGGTCTGAGGATGAGACCTGACAACATCAACCCCAGGACTGGGCTGGTGGTGGCTCTGGTCAGTGTATTCCTGGTGTTTGGCTTCATGTTCACAGTGTCTGGGGTGAGGGGGGAGACCCTGGGTGGAGTGCCCCTCATCGCCATTGGCCCTGCCATCTTCCTGCCTGGCCTGGCTGCCATCATCCTGGCAAAGAAGACGGACGGCTGCACCAAGTGGCCTCCCTGCCCCCCCTATTGCCGCTCCTGCCGTTCCTGCCACCGCTTGAAGGAAGAGCGTGAGGATGAGTTGCTGAGGGCTGGCCTCAGGGACTCAGGCTGGGAGGGCAGCAGCCACCAACAGGGGCTGTGTAAGAGCCCGGGGTCTGAGGACAGGGGCTCCCAGACTGACTCTAGTAGCCTGATCCCAAAGGGTGAGCAAGAAGTTGCCAGAAGGTTCCTGGAGACTTTCTACCCAGCTGGTGTCTTCAACCAATGTGCCCTGGGCAACCTGTGCCCCAACCGGAACAACGCTTTCTACACCAGTGTGTACAGTACCCGGGACAGTGTGATCTATGCCCCCCCTACCCAACGGGACAGTGTGCCCTACGGCAGGTACTATTGCTGCTATCCCAGCCCCGGAGAGCCACGCCATATCAGGTTCTGCTGGGACTACGAGACCATTGTGTGAACTGGCAAAGCGGGCAACTGCCCTGTGGACTCTACACTCAACAACCAAAGCAAAATCAACCAGACAATAACAACAACGACTTGCATTTATATCACACCCTTCATGCGGGGGAGGGTCTCAGAGCGAGGGTCTCAGAGGGAGCGCTTCACAGTAGCGAAGCCGAGCCGGCTAACCGGGGAGGAGGGAGGAGGTGACCGTAAGCATGGTTGAAGAGGAAGGACTTGAGGCGTGATCTGAAAAAGAGGAAGGCGTGGAGCAAGGCGCAAGGATTGAGGGAGAGAGTTCCAAAGTTCCAACTTGTTCGTTCATTCATTCGCCAGAGAGATCCGAGAGGAAAGGAGCTGGTGAAGTGAAGACTTGAGGTGGATCCAAAGCAGAGAGAGAGCTATATATCACTTCCTCCCCACAACTTGTAGTCGTGCTGTTGAGCTGAGCACAGATTTCTATTTTTTAATCAACAAGTGACGGTCTGACTTATACGATGAACGTTTAAAAAAAAAACAAGCAAAAGTATAAAAGCATGCACTGTGCATTTTTTTATTACAGATGACGCCAGAACAATTTAGAGTTTAGTAAACATTAAACTACGTATTGATTAGGAATGTGTGGCCTGATGTCCATTTCTGCAGTGAGTGATGCCTTTTTCTCTTGTTTTTTGCTCAGATTTTATAATATAATCTGCATTCTGCTGTTTAAATTTGTAGAGGACATGTTGAGTGGATATATTTAAGGGGATATCCTTTCTGGTTAACTTACTCTAGATTGTAGAGAGACCTGAGTTCAATTCCAGGCAGGGCGAGACCTTGGGCAAGTTTCCTCACTCCACACGCCTAATAATAATCCCTCCAAAACCAAAAACAATAATAAATTGGTCATTTTCAATCTACGACTGTTTGTGGGACATTGCTGTGCACAATTGGCTGCCGCGTTCGCCCACAAATATACAGTCAATTCATTTTACAGTGTGTTCTGTGAAGCGCTTTGGGACGTCCTCCCGACGTGGAAAGCGCTATATCAAATGCAAGGATTATCATTATTATTATTGTAGTTTTGCAGATTGTAGCAAATTATCAAATTTAATAATAACTACAGTAAACTCCTGATAACTTGTCACTCCAAGGGAAAAGAGCTCTGTGACCAGTTATCTGAAATAGTATAAATACATAAATAAATATGGACAGGATATTGATAGCATGTTGACCTAAGTGGTAGTGACAAGATAAGCCTGGAGTTGAGACAGAAGTTAAGCCTGAGTTATTAGGAGTTTATGAACAAGACATATCTGATGCCGATGGTTTGGTGACTGTATTTGCTCAGTCTGGATACAGAACGTTGGGGAACGGCCCTTAGGATCTTGCTTATGATGGGGAAACCTTACTGAAAGTGCAGGGAGAGGGTCTTAAATATCTGCATCTACATGTACTTGCATGCGTGCTTGCTTGCAGTTTCGATCTGACAAACAATCACAATGTTCCCTCTCAATCGATTTTAAAAGAAACAAACAAAAACACGTTAGTAAAGTTTCTATTTTGGAAAAGGAGGAGCAGAGCTGTTTATGAATTTAACGCAGCAACTTCATCCGTGATGTTTCAAGGTGATTTAGAATCTCCGCATCGTGTGTATTTATTTAACAAATTAGATTGGCTTTGCCCATCACTCCCTCACTGGAACACGAGTGCCCTCTTTAAACTTCTCGTCCAGTATTTTTGTTTCTGTTTATAAAGGAAGAATCTGCGTCACATTGAAACATCCCAAAGTTTTTTTTTACAGCAATTAATGTCATGTGTAGTGTGTTTAGTGGTTTTTTTTTTTTGCAGGCAATGGTGGTAACTCTTTTGCACACAGCAGAGTCCCACGAATAGTTATGGATATTTGATTTTAATGGTTGACGTCCAGCACTTTGGGAGAAAATCCTTTCTCATTTAATAATAATAATAATCCTTGCATTTGATATAGCGCTTTTCACGTCTTCTAGATGTCTCAAAGCGCTTCACAGAATATGCTGTAAGGTGAATTGACTGCATGTTATGTGGGCGAAACATGGCAGCCAATTGCGCACAGCAGTGTCCCACAAGCAGTCATGGATTCAAGTGATCAATTTATGATTGTTTTGTTTTTGAGGGATTATTATTAAGGAAACTTGCCCAAGGTTTTGCCCTGCCAGGAATCGAACCCAGGTCTCTCACTTGCAAAGCAAATGCTCTGACCACTGAGCTACAGGACTCCACATTTAGTATCATGGGATCTTTAACATCCACCTGAAGAATAGGGTCAGTTTACAGTTACACCTCAGTTTGACATCTCATCCAAAGGAAGGCACCTCCAATAATACGGCACTCTCTTTAAGTACTGACCATCAGCTTGGACTATTATCCAATGTGGAGCTTGAACAACCTCTGACCCAAAGGGAAGAATCATACCAAGTGGGCCAAGCAAGGCTACAGGGGGAGAGGTAGTTAAAGAAAAGGTGAACCTCCTTTAAGATCAGAAGAATTGAGGATGTTATTCTGGGGTTTGTTTTGTATAAACAACAATTATTGTCCAGTTGGTATATAGAATTCTCCTTAACTTCACCCTAAATCACCACCAGGTTGATTTTCATGTTAGTTTTTAGTTAAAAAAGAACTTGCACTTTAACAGCACCAAAATCATCTATATTTTTGTGGCTGAGAAAGCTCCCAGACAGCAATATGAATGGCAAGCTATGCAGTTTTAGCTGGTTAGACTCCAGCAGTACCCAACACACACTCTGGAGTCCCCAAGCCTTGGCCCTTGCCAACCTGCGCCTAACACTTTCCGGAATTAGGTAAGCAGGATGGGTTCCTCGAGGGAGAGAGTGCATATTCCATCCCAACAATCTCTCTTTGGGATTTCCATGTGTAGGTGAGATGCATGGAATTCACAATTTGGTTTGGATACTCTGAAGCATGGTGATGGGTTTCAGTACGTGTCAGACAACCGGCTGACCGAAAAAGAAAATAATGTTTTGAAGATTTTTATTTACATCGCCACAATTCAAATAATACAGATGTTACCAGTCTAAACATCTCCTAAGAAAAATACAGCAGCTCCTTTCAAATAACATCTGGTTGCAGCTGTTTCCTGCAAGATAGATTGAGATTGCCTTGTGCTTCTAATTTGCAGATAAATATCTTTGATTCCACTGAAAGCCAATCAGAAATTGGTATTTAGCTCTAAATAGCAAGAAGTGTTATTGTGCATGGAAATTCTGTTTGAGAGTCCAACATTTTATTTTTGTTAAATTTAGATTGAAAGTAAGTCTGTACAATTTCAATATCTTATTTATTATTAAAATTCCATAATCCCCTTGGTCAGCCTTGTGTGTGTTTTATTTTGCATGTTGGGAAATGTATTACCTTATCAACTTTTGGAATCCAGGAGTGACTTTAGGTTGAAGGTGGCCCTCATAAACCTGGCCAACAATCCTGCAGATTAAATGAGTCATTCAGCTCATGACTGGTTATGGGACATTTCTGTGCAAAGTGGCTGTTGCGTAAATACAGTTAATACGCATTTTACAGAAAACTGTAAATCGCTTTGAGATGATATAGGTGCAATAGCGAATGCAAAATGCAAAGTACCTTGAGATGTCCTCCTGACATGAAAGGCATTATACCAAATATATTAATGGTGATGATTGTTAATAATAATTATTATAATTTTTAGTAATGATAAGAAAAAAGAAAGTTTGGGAACGTCACTCAGGACGGCTGTATGTATTCCCTGTAAGATCAGAAACATTGAACAACTCTCATTTGGCAGAACTGAAAATATAGGTTTGTGGGTTATGCCGAGTTTGTCTGAAGTTCATTGCTCAACACTCCAGGAATAACATTGTATCTCTGTTTCTCGCACTCTAGGATGGATGAGGTGTTTTCCTGACAGGCTGTGCTCAGTGATGGTTTCACTGTCATATTCACTGGCGTGTTCACCGGTGCGTTCACTGGTGTGGTCACTGCCGTGTTCACCGGTGCGTTCACTGGTGTGGTCACTGCCGTGTTCATTGGTGTGTTCACTAGTGTGTTTGATGATAAAGTTTGTTTCCCTTCAAGCCAGTAAGTCACCATGTCACCCTTCCCCTAGAACAGAAAGAGAAGAATAGTTACAGAAGGTTTTATCGCGGATAAAATGGGGAGAGGAATGGCAATGGGGGAGAGGAAAGAACAGACCTGCCTGTAGCATTCCTTTCCTTGATTGTCCAAGAAGATTTCCCCACCATGGCCTTAAAACAACTAATACATATGCCATAAGTTACGTCAACCTGGTTCAGTTGGTAGCACGCGTGCCTCTGTGTCTGAAAGCTGTGAGTTCAAGCCCCACGTTGGAACTTTGACCTGATACTCCAATGCAGTGCGAGTGGAGGTTGCATTTTGAGAGACTTTAAACTGAGTTCTTGGCCACTGTTCAGGTGGGTATAAAAGGTCCTATCGATTCTCGAAAAGACAATACTTTTACAAAATCAGCTTCCATTTTAAAACTCAGTGGACACCTTTTCCAGAATTTCACATGGTGTTAAATTTTAAGATAATCATCTCGCCAAGTGGAATTTCAAACCCATTATTGTTTGTCTAACACAAACAAAGCCTGATCCAGAGGGTTTTACATTAATCTTGGCTAGCTGATCTTGACTGTACAAAATGGATTTCTACCATTTCTGCCAAAATAGATTTCTATCAATAAATAAAATAATAATTTGGTCACTCAATCTATGACTGTTTGTGGGACACAGGTGTGCGCAATTGGCTGCTGCCTACAAAATATACAGTTAATTCACTTTGTAGTATATTCGATGAAATGCTTTGAGACATCCCAAAGACTCTCCGACCTGTTATAGGCACTATATCAAATGTTTGATCCCAGTATTATTATTATTATTATTATTATTATTATTGACAAGCACAAATTCACCAAATGTTAATGGAAGGAAGGGGTTGACTTTACACAAATTACACAAACATGTTCACACCATCTCACCTGCAATATTTTAGCTGTTCAGATAAAATATGTATGTTCTAGATGTGAGGTTAACCTACCTTTATTTGCAACGTGCCACGACATGTTAGTATATATCCTCCGATTTGCTCCAGTAGACTGTGTGTAGTGGAGCTACATTGTATCTTCAATGCTATAGACAGGAAATTAGTTGATTACTTTAACTCTGGGGAGCACATTCGCTGATACTCTACATGTTTTGTAGCAGTCAAAATCTTAAGTCTGAAAATTATTTCTTTCGATTTAAATGTTTGCACTTTTATTCCCCCCATTCATCTTCTTTCCCTCGTACTTCAGATCCCAGGTTCAGGATGTCCACTGGCCTGATCAGGTCACACCTCGACTACGGTGGTCCAACTAGCGGCCTGGGGATAATTTCATCCGGCCCGCAAACCATTTCCAACTTTGTGAAAGGCAGCACAGAGAGCAACGGGAAGACAGGCACAGCAGGAGGATTTTAAAAAAAGTATTGTAGCATATTCTGCAAAATTGCTTATGAGACCCACTGACATTTCTCAAATCCAGCATCCGGCTCTCAGCAGCCAAAAAGTTGGACTTCCCTGGTGTATACTGTATGTATGGTTATTGTGATATGGGTGGGGGGTTGGAGCTGTGCAGTCCCTAGAGGGAGTCACTAAATAAATGAGTTAATAAACTGGGACTTTTATTTTGAGATCAGTCGTCTCAGAGGTCCTTACTAAAAGATATATAAAATGCTAAATAGGATAAAGAAATGAACCCCACAACAATAGTTTCAGATAGGCCAAGACAGCTGAACAAGAGGGCACGGGTTCTGGTTTGTCAAGGGCATGTTTAGGACAGATACCAGGAAGTATTTCTTTACACAGAAGATAATTAATGACTGGATGGGTTACCAGGAAGGGTGATTGAGGCCAGGACACTGGAGTCCCTTAAGAAATAGCTTCATGCTGTAAACCCTGGGATCAAACAGGCTAAAGGGCCTTCTTTATTTGAACCTCTCTTTTGATCATATTAATATTAAGTGACATTTTGACCTCAGCTGTTAATGTGATTTAATCCTTATTGTGTACAGAGTGACGTCCACTGTTTCACTTTGGTGTGATGTGTCTGAATAAACTATTTGTGTCTGATTAAGCTGATACTTGGGAAAGGGAACCAGCTGCATCCTGAGAGAGTCAGGTCACAAGATAAGTGAGGGTGACCAGGGGATCTCACTCTCCCATTAACCTTTTATCCCTGTTGGGAAGAGACAACAGTTTCCTCTGTACCTTCCTTAACTACCTCTGCCACACAAGTGGAGATCTGAGTCTAGATAGTGCTCATGGTTTAGCCTTAAGTATCATTCTATGTCATTATATGGAATACCATTGCCTTAAAATGTAATATTATGTAACATTTTGGGACATTCTTAAATTCTTCATGGTTTAATGGTCTTAAGGCTAAGATCACCAGATACTTCCGGTCTCTGGAATGTTGCCTCACATGGAATAGGAAGTGCACACCTAGATGCTGATACTCTGGAGCAGACTGAGTATATCAACAATCAGCTTACCATTCACATATCTTGCTAAGCGCACACAGGTAATGAATGCAGAAACACTGATTTGTTATCACGGCCTTGTTATAAGGCAGGTTGGGATCTTATACACCCAAACTATTGCATTATAACAGGACTCAACTCCACTGTACTGATCAACCACAAACTTATTGCGATGAATGAAGGGCAGGAAGAAGCTAAACCTTTACAATTGCCATCTACCTTCACTCGTTGATTCCATCCTTGAGGCCGTGTTTACTGTGTCACCAAATAAGCAGTAACGGGGCATTTTTATCCCAACCACTCCTGCCACCACTGGCCCTAAAGGTAGAAAGAAAGCATTCAGTTTGCCTGCTCTTAAAGGCAGCCTGTTCATATACACTCACAGATACATATAAACACATACACACACACCCATACATTTCCACCACACATACACATGCGGTACATACATTTAAGTACATATACACTTACAGTACATACAAGACACACATACATATACATACTTATACACATACACACATTTACATATGCACCACACATAGCATATATACAGTTCACACATACATATATTATATATGCACACACTTATGCACCAAGATGCACTAAGCAAACACTGTATCAAGATGCACTAAAATAGAGTTTATTTTGCAATGTTTTCAAATTGACAAAAGCAGCTTTTGGAAACTGTAATGAACCAATTTGTGAATGTCACAAGTTCGGCCCCAGTCTACAGGAACAGCAGGAGGTCATTCAGACCATTGATCGTTTTCTGTCAACTTATTAAATCACGGCATTATTTTTAGCCCTATTTACCTGCCTTTTCTCCATAGCCCTTAACTTCTCAAGTTTCCATCTATCTCCCTTTTAGACGTTCCAAGTGATTCCGAAAGATTCAAATTGGTTTTAATTCGCTACACATTACTTAATTCCGGAACGTAATAAAAGGTGCAAGTTGGGAACTCCAGAGTGCGTGTTGAGGTGCTGCTGGAGTCTAACCACCTGAACATGATCATTGCGTTATTAAATGTGGCGGCCTTCGTGAGCTTGTGATGCCCGAGCCACGATACCTGAGTGGATTCCAGCCCGGATCTTTAGTTTTGTCTGCGGTTTGTGTGGGATTTTGAAAGTATCGCAAATGGCCACCAGATCTAGAGCCAGCCTGGCTATTTCACTTGCGTGAGAGATGCCATTTTCATTAGGAACTCCTGAGACCACCATATCTGCAGCCAGTGGAAGAACACACAAAAAAACATTTCTCGATGAACAAATGCTGCCCGTTCTTAAATGACTTTTTTTAAATAATAAACATCTTGGTAAAAGACTGCAGTGTGTATTTTTTTGAATGAGAGCAAAACACCACCCTTTAGGCTTTGACTTGATGAAAGTTATTTTTAATTGTAATTCTCATTTTTTTTTAGAACTATAAACCCCCTCCTCGCTCCTTCCCTTCCCTCCCCTCACCCTGACCATTTCCCCCCTCCTCGCTCCCTCCCTTCCCTCCCCTCACCCTGACCATTTCCCCCCCCTTCCTATCACAGTGGGACCTCCCTGCTCCAGGGCAGTGAAGAGACAGATTTGCCAGTGAGATTATTGTCAGCCTGGCGCAGTGATAGCACTCTTGTCTCAGGGTAGAATATTGGGGTTCAAGCCGCATGTTTGGACTTGGATTCACATAGTCCAAGCTGACACTACAATGCTGCACTGGCGGGTGTCGCATTGTTGGAGATGCCTTCCTTCAGATGAGACGTGAAACTGAGATCCCATCTGCCTGTTCAGGAGGATGTTAAAGATCCCATGGCACTTTTCGAAAAGAGAAGGGAATTTCTCCCAGTATCCTGGCCAACAAATCCCCCAAATAAAATTGGTCATTCACTCCATGACTGTTTGTGGGACACTGTTGTGCACAAATTGGCTGCTGCATTTCACCCACAAAATACACAGTCAATTCACGTTACAATATATCCTATGAAGCACTTTGAGACACCAGGGCAATGTCAAATGCAAGGATTATTATTATTATTATTATTTATTGAACCTTTCACTTTAACGCGGACAGCCTATTAGTGAGAGTGGTCAGCGAATCACTGTTTTCCGATCCATTTCAATGGATGGGGGGGGCCTCAACAGGTGAATCATTTGCGGTGTTTGAGCTAAGGACTCTGTGACTACTCCATGTGAAGGGCACAAAATCAATGAAAATAATAATTTTCACGTTTAGCGTTTAATGTTAGGGGGATACAAGATCGCTCACTTTGACTTCTGCCCAATTGAGATGGTGGTCATTTAAACAGTGTTGAGCTACAAGGGTAGAGGCTCAGTTATTTTTCACTAGAAATATTCAGGACATAAAACATTCAGGTCAAATTGCCAGATTTCTTCACCAGGTTCCTGTTGACCCAAGAAAACCACTCCAGAAGTAAGAGGGTCAGCATGATTTGGTGAGGTGTGGATCAAATCCCCATTTGTGGGGAGATTTCTTATTACGGAATCCCATTATCAAATCCTGCATATTGAACATTGAACCGCGTATAACTTTTATTAAAAAGTTACTTGTGTGAAGTACTTACATGCGTCTCCTATAGTTTCCACTTTGTAGACATCGTAATTGTCTATTATTTCATCAAAGGTGGTGTACAGTTTGTTTAAGAATTCCACAACCTGGTACGGAGTGCTGGTGCTCGACAACTGAGTGAAGCCTTCAATATCACTGGTAACAACAAGACAAAGTGATAATAATAACATAATAATCCTTGCATTTGATATAGTGCCTTATCACATCATTAAGATGTCTCAAAGTCCTTCACAGAATATATACTGTAAGGTGGATTGATTGTGTATTTTGTGGGTGAAATTCTGGGTCTTCCAAACACCAGCCTGCTTCATATGCCCCAACCAGTCTGCCCCACTATCATGGAGTGAGCTTTCAGTTAGTCTTCCTTTGGTATCTGGCACTCCGCCACACGTATCACAAGTTCCTGCCCCCAAAGTGAATGCTGTTACAGAAGCATGTAATTACCAGTAATTTGCACCAGTAATATCCTAGAAAGAGCAAGGATATTAATTGGGAATTAACCTTGTGTTTGCTAACCAGCCATTTTTCTTGCAGAAAGTCAGTGCCCTTTTAATACTCTACACTACAACAAGAAAAGCAGACACACTGATGATTAGTGCTTAGTGCAACGCCGGCTTGATTAGGGATCAGCTCTATAAACACCTGGTGACACACAGCTATTCCAGCTTTTTCAGTGCATACTCTACAATTGCAGCTCCTACAATAATAATAATAATAATAATAATCCTTGCATTTGATATAGCGCTTTTCACGTCGGGAGGACGTCCCAAAGCGCTTCACAGATCACACTGTAAAGTGAATTGACTGTATATTTGTGGGCGAACGCGGCAGCCAATTGCGCACAGCAATGTCCCACAAACAGTCGTAGATTGAGCAACAGCAACAACAAGTTGCATTTATATAGTGCCTTCCACATTGGGAGGACATCCCAAGGCACTAGACATTGAGAGGTTTGCATCTGAGCTGCAGGTTGGAATCAGAGAGGGGTGGAGGGTAAAGGGGATGGAAGAGGTCAAACATCTAAGGGAGTAGGCTATAACCCAGCAGGACTGAACTGTTTACCATCTCCCTTCCATTTGTAATCACAATTGATTGGACACTTTAGGGTCTCCCTGCTGCTGTTGTGAAGAGGTGACTATACCTGAAGAAAATTGTGGCGCTTGAGTAACTCTGAGCTTGAGCCACAATCCCTTGTCTCAGATCGTCAGCCACTTGTTTTGGCAACATACCTGAAAGAGGAGCAGTACGTTAGGCACACATACTGGCAAATATAGCCCAGAGTGCTGTGCAATCTGGCACCATTGCCTTCTTCTCTCATTCTCCCAACTGGATCAGCAGAGATAATAGTGATTCTCATCCATGAGCCAAAGCAAAAAGGTACACAGAAAATCATAACCTCTCAATCTCTTCTAAAACTATTTCCTAATGGGCTTTGTTTCCTCCTTTCAACTCTGACCAGAGACAATCAGAGTGTAGTGAGTCTCCTTTCTGCCAATGTTAAATTCAACTAAGAAAATATTCTTAGAGAAAAATTCTCCATCTCCAGACAAGGTCAACGCTGGCATTTAGTTGCCCTGAGAAAGTGCTGGTGAGACCTTCTCTTTAAACCTCTGCAGTTACAATAATAATGATAACAATCCTTGCATTTGGTATGGTACCTTTCAGGTTGGAAGGATTCCAAAGCGCTTCACGGGATCTACTGGGAAATGGTGTGACTGTATTTGTACGCGAATGAAACAGTCCAGTTGCACACAGCAATGGCAAACAGCCATGAAACAAAATTATCAATTTTATTTTGGGGTTTGTTGGCCAGAATGTTTGGAGAAAGAAACTCCCTTCTCGAATTGTGCTGTGGGATCTTTAACGTTCAACTGAATGTTAGATGGGGCAGATGGGGCCTCAGTTTAACGTCTCTTCTAAAGGACGGCACCTGCAATAATGCAGTGCTCCCCCAATACTGTACTGGTGTCAGCCTAGATTGTGAGCTCAAAGTATTGATGTAGGGTGCCCTTGTGGGGATGGAGTTCCCACCATGTTGTTTAGTAGGATTTGACCCAGCAATGATGAAGGTAATGGGCGATGTACACCCAATTCAGGATGGTGAGTGACTTGAAGGGGAACCATGATCCAGGTTCAATGTTCTGCTTAAATCTCATCCCTCAAACTCAGAGCAAGCCAAAGCCCTAATGGGTAGGGTGGTCCCAGCTGGACAAACAGCAGGAAAGCTTGCCAGACATGGCAAGCTATGTGGTTTTAGCTGGTTAGACTCCAGCAGTTACCCCAACACACACTGTACTTAGTCCCAAAGCTTTGGCTCCTGTAAGGTGGCTAGTGACATCATTATAATTGCTGACCACACTTTACAGGATGCCAGCTTAAGGTTAGCACCTCTGAAAATGCAGTACTCCCCCTGTACTGCCCTGGAGTGTCAGCCTAGACCACAAGCTCACATCCTGGTGTATGTGTGTGGAGGGGGTGTACATTCCAGCAAGTCTGTGTGCCTGTGTGTGTTTGTGAGTGTGTATTTCCTACATGTTCAGTGTTGAAGACTTACTGTAAAGCAGACGATCGGTTTTCTGTTTCTCGTGCACCAGATCCTGTGTTCTCTCAGCCACCAGCACTTCCAGGTGCTTGCTATACTTCTCCATCTTAAACATAGGGAAATAAACCGGCTCAGGACAGACATTTACATATCTTTATAATGTTGGGATAATCACTATTTACTTTAACAGCAGAGCGAAGGCTCAATTGATGTTTCTGGCCACTTTTTCCCTTAGGGAGGGAGGGGGTGAGACGGTTCTACACTCTTAATTTGCATCTCCATGATATGGCTCGTTCCCCCCTCGTAGAGTGTACTGGACGGCTTCTGTAATCAATTCTGACTAATGTGTGCAAGTCCCTATAACTAGGTGTAACTTGACTAATGAGTTTTTCTATGACGACAGATGCTACCAATTGCTATTTAAATTAAAGCAAATTGGGAAGCTTTAGTCAATCAGAGAATTATTTTCGAACACCTCTGTGACCTAGGCTGAACCTCTTTATGAATTCCCTCTTATATCGAAAATTAACAGAGAGCCCGAATAAGACACGGTTAAGAAAACTCAACGGTATTTTTATTATGGTTCGATCAGAATCCCAAACTCTCCGGAAATAGTTTTCAAGTGATTTCAACAAATAACAACAGACAGGTTATGTAAAACAGGGGGACGGCCATGACAGGGTGAAAGAGTTTAAATCCAAGGAACATTGTGCCCAAGTCTATTTTGTACATCCCTGGTGCTCCTGGTTTGGGGGCATGTTGGGGGAGGTGATTGTAGGGTTTATGAGAGCAGGGGTTCTGTTAGTTGTGTTAGTGTTGCCTCTATTTGTCCAGGATCCTCTCCTAGGTTGGTTATCATTCCTGTAGTGAGATAAGTGAAAGATGGTCTCTTGGTGCTGATTAAGAGATTACCACCAGCATCCTAACAGCTCACCACAAGTTATAGTTACCACCAGCATTCTGACTACTCACCACTAGTTAAAGACCACCAGCACCTGACACCTCACCAGCATTGAGCATTGTCTTAAAATGTAAGAAAGTGAAGAATTTCAGGTTTATTTTGGAACTGGGTTTTCCAGTTCTTGACTCAGGAGGAATTGTTGATGACGTAATAATATCACCGGTGATAACTGTCACATCACATGCTGCAATATTGTCACCAGCATTGTTTAAAATAATGATCACTGAGTTCTCAATCTGCCGTCAGTAATGTTGCAGAGTGTTTGCTCCCTGGTGTTTCCACACTTACCAGTGTCATCATCGTGTCCACAGGGCTGACTTTATTGGGGTTAATCTTGTACAGGTATTTCTTTATCTGCTCAAACAAGGGCCGCTGGGCTGGATTCTGTGCTCGACACTTCCTGATTAGCTGAGGCAGCAACAGGAGAAACAACAGTTTATAATAATCCTTGCATTTGATATACAGCACCCCTCATGCAGGGTTGCGTCCTATAGCACTTTATCTCGTCATTCAGGCATCTCAATAACGTATACTGTAACGTGAGTTGACTGCATATTTTGTGGGCGAAACGTGGCAGCCAATTGTCCCACAAACAGTTGTGGTAAAAGGGAGAAAGACTCTACTTTGGAATAGGGTGGGCGATCCCTTCACATCCCCCTGAATAACAAGGCAGGCAGAGGGGATTTTAAGTTAATCACACAATCAAAAAAGGAGGTACTGTATACGGATTAGGAAATAAATAAAACTTTGTAATATACAATGTTGCTGTAGCTAGGCAAATATAATAGCTACTGAGTGATCTTGTGTTGTCTTACCATGATGTATTCGGATGGACATGGGCAGGCGTTTTCCGATTTTCCGGTTATTAATTCTGGTAGAGGAGGGCACCATCCGTATTCTGTAGAGTTTCCGTCATCTCTCTGCAGTACGATTTGAGTAGATTTTACATTAAAGATCGTTCTGCTGGATTTTTATAATAATAATCCTTGCATTTGATATAGAGTCTCATCACGGCGTTGACACGTCTTAAAGCGCTTCATAGAATATATTCCATGATAATTGTAATAACTGAATAATATCTGCCTGTTCTAATGGAATGTAACAGATATGCCTTGCCATCAACCCACAACCTCCCTCTCCCCACTCCACTAAAACATATCCTGGTATTACAGTCTGACGAAAGTTTATTGTTAACTCATTGACCTGCTGAGGCCAGCCGCTTCTGTTTTTATTTCAGATTTCTAGCATCTGCAATATTTTGCCTTATGGTGTTACAGGATTTACTCTGCCGTTGTTAAGCACTCTGAGAAGCTGCCCTGCATGAAGGGAGCTATATAAATGCAAGTTCATGTTGTTGCAGTTGTTCTTCATTTTCTTTGTATTCATTCAAGTATTTGTTAAAAACTTAAAATCCTAGCATTTCATATCATGTCTTTCTTGTCAGGAAGACGACTCAAAGTGCTTCATGGGATATATTGCTAAGTGTAGTAACTGTGTATTTGTAGGCTTATCATATAATAATAATAATAATAATCCTTGCATTTGATATAGCGCTTTTCACGTCGGGAGGACGTCCCAAAGTGCTTCACAGAACACACTGTAAAGTGAATTGACTGTATATTTGTGGGCGAACGCGGCAGCCAATTGCGCACAGCAATGTCCCACAAACAGTCGTAGATTGAAAATGACCAATTTAATTATTGTTTTTAGTTTTGGAGGGATTATTATTAGGCGTGTGGAGTAAGGAAACTTGCCCAAGGTTTCGCCCTCTGCCTGGAATTGAACTCAGGTCTCTCACTTGCAAAGCGAGTGCTCTAACCACTGAGCTACAGGACTCCATATGGCTGATGGTCTCAAGTTCACTGTCTTCTAATCTACTTGCTGCACAATATCATATGTTCATAGGAAAGCAAGGCTATTCTGATCCTCCAACCTGTCCTTTTACACAAACCATCTATACTCCGTTCCAACCGGTATCACAATATCACAAGATTGGTTCTGATGAAGAAGGCTGCTCTGTCCATCAGATCTCATTCTTCCAGAACACCCACCCTACCATCTTCCCATCACACCATCAAGCTAATTTTTAAATGAGTCCAGCGTTTTGACCTCAACCACTCTTCTTGGCAACCTGTTCCAGTTATTAATTATCCATTTAATCTCCTGGTAAAAGATTTGTTAAAGCATCGAAGGTAAATCAAGCAAAATTTCCAAATACCTGTCTTGTGTTATATCCTTGACTAGGCATTGCTAGATAATTTCCTGCATGTTCCTGTGACCCTGATAGCTCAGACCAAAGACATTTTCAGTGAACAATACAAAGAGTTAGCACTGTAATGAGCTAGTGAAAAATTTGATACGTGACATGATCACATACCACGCTTTTCAGCCTGCTAAAAGTTATCAGCCTGTAACTGAGACATGTGACTATGTCTCCTTCAATGGGCTTGGTCTCATTTGTTACCATATTCTAATAGACATGTCGGATAAGAACACAAGAATTTGCTAGACAAAAGAAGGTCGAAGTCCATCCAGTTCGCCTTCCACCATCCTGGCAGTCGCATAATATGTTATGTCTCAAGCTATATACTGTATCCCGAGATATCATTTCCTAACAGAAATCTATCTATAAGAACATAAGAACTTGTATTGGAACTTACCGGCACAGGGTCACTTCTGGTTGCAATTTCTAGTAGAATAATGGCATAGCTGTTAAAACAAATAATAATAAAATAAGAATAACAGCAACAAATTACATTTGTATAGCACCTCTCATGTTGGGAGGACATGAAACAATAATTACAAAAATAATAATCCTTGCATTTAATACATACATACATCAGAATGTCTCAAAGCACTCACAGAGCTTTCTGTAAAATGCAGTGACTATAATTTTGGGCAAATGCAGCAGCAAATTTGCACACAGCAGTGTCCCTCAATCAGCCATGATGTGAATGACCAATTTTTTTTATTTGTTTGTTTGTTTATTTATTTTTTATTCATTTATTTGGCCTAGATACCGGGAGAAACTCCTTTCTTTTTTCAAATAGTGCTGTGGGATCTCTGACGTCCACCTTAACAGGCAGACAGACATTGACCTTGGTTTAACTTTTCATCCACAAAATGATTTGTGGACAGTATCATGATCGAGCATTTTGATGAGATACTGTCATAAGATACATGTCCTGGTCAGATTATTGATGGAGCAGTTTTAGAGCTCCAGTGTAATTAGCTGATGATCTTCAAGGTTACTGTGGTGAGTTCAGTGCATGGCTAAGGGGAGATGACCAATGATGACTAAGTTATTACCAAATAAGTTATTAGTAAGTTATTTCATTCAACAGAAAGTGGAATTTTCAAAACTTTTACAATGTTGATCCTACACTTCATAATATTTCTTCTGCACCAACTAACTTCCTGGAAATGATAAGAAGGATGATATTAGATGATGATAATAATAATAGTAATCCTTGCAGTTAATATGGCAGCTTACATGTCGAGAGGATGTCTCAGAGTGCTTCACAGAACAATGAGAAGCACATACAAAGACGCTAAGCCACTGCACTGAACTATATTTGCTTCATTTTTCTATTTCCAAACAGAAGGCAAACAATCAAAAACAACAACGAATTACATTTGTATAGCGCCTTTCATGTCAGAACGACATCCCTGGGTGCTCGACAGTCAGGGATCCTCACCCGAGTTGGAATCAGGAGGGTAGGGGGAAGAGGGTGACCGAAGGCACAGTTGAAGAGGAGGGTCTTGAGGCGAAGCAAGGGATGTGATGCAAGATGGAGCCCACGGATAGGTTGGTAGGGGTATAGGAGGGCACAGAAGTAGGGAGGAGCAAGGCCGTGGAGGGCTTTGAAAGTGATGTCCAGAATCTTGAACTGTATCCACTGTGTGATGGGAAGCCAGCAAAAAAAAAAAGGGGTGGGGGGAGAATAGAGGTCAGAAGAAATGTTGCAAGGTTAACTGGTCTTCTCTTCCAAGTCCTGCTGATGAACCAGGCTGGTTGTGCTGTCATCAGCAGTGTCCTGGAGTATTGCGGACCCCCCGGCTCAGGAACCAGGTTCCCAGGATCGCCACAGAGGACAATGGGCTGAATGGCCTCCCTGGTTCTACCAACCTGTAAACATCTGTTGCTGGGCATAGTTCAAAGTTGGTTGACATCTGGGCCTCAGGGGGAAGATAAGCTTGAATCAAACGCTGGCGGTACGTGTTAGGGGCCTCCGGAAAGTCCTCCTTTCTGTAGAGCGACAAGCAGAAATCTGGGGGAAGAGATGGACATTGAAAGAAGACAAACGTGGGGTCAGGGAGATTGTCTAAATATTCTGATTTAACGTCTCGCATTTCTCACCTGTGAGTTTGCAAACCCAGCGGTCATCAATGACTGTGTTGGTGGATTTTAACCTGCCATGGTATATCTTGCACTGGTGAAGATAAGCCACTCCCCTGGCTATGTCAGTCGCAAACGAGAACCTGGCGTGAAACCACAATTGCTTTAGGTTTCGCTAACCCAGAGTTCATTACGTAAACTGCACAGTGTCAAAGCAGAATTACACCATTTAATAATAATAATCATAATCATAAATAGCACTTGAATTTGATATAGTGCCTATAGCATCTAAACGTCTTAAAGCACTTTGTAGGTTGTTGCTATCATGTGTAGTGACCGTGTATTCACAGCAAATGCAGCAGCCAATTTGCACACAGCAAGATCTCACAAGCAGCTGCTAGATAAATGATTAATTTTATCTGGGGATTGTTGGACAGGACACCGGGAGAAACTCCCTTCTCTTTTTGAATAGTGTCATAGGATCTTTAAAGTCCGCACTCAGATGACAACCTTGGTTTAATATCTTGTCCAAAAGACAGCATCTCTACAATGCAGAGCTCCCCTAGCACTGTACTGGAATGTTAGTCTGGACTGTGAGCTCACAGTCCGGATAAGGAGTACAGTATCAATGGTAATGGTATATACCCAAGCTGCAAAATCTCAGTTTCAATGGAGCAAAGTTCTTATATGAGAGACCAATGCCTGATTGTGACACTATGAATGGTGGAGGTCCGGTTCAACTCCTTCAACACCAACTTGTGGCATTGCATCTTACCAAACTCTGCATCCCATCACCCCAGTCCTTGTCAGGCTCCACTCGCTCCCTGATGCAGAACAGATCTATTTTAAGATCCTCTCCCTCACTTTCAAATCTCTTCCGGCCCTGGCACCTCCCTACCTCTCCGATCTGCTCACACCCCACTTCACTACCCGCACCGTTCACTCATTTGGCTTTGATCTTCAGCATATCTTCACCCCTCTGCTCCGCTATTGGCAGCCATGCTTTCAGTCACTATGCCCCAAATCTCAGGAACTCCTCGCCTCAATCCCTCCGTTGTGCCCTTCCTGCCTTTGCTTGTCTTCAAATGATCTCTGAGGATCTCAACTATGCTTTCAGTAAATTCCCTTCTCTTTCCAGCTCAGCGTCAAACCACACCATTGTTAAACGCTTTGAGACACTACCAGAAGCATTGCGTGTGTGTATCAGTACATCTGTGTGTTTTGTGTGTGAATGTGTGTATCAGTATAGGTGTGTGTATTGTGTTGTATCAGTATATATGTGTGCACTATTTGTGTGTACTTGGGGCTTTATTATACCCTTCCTCCTGCCGTTTGCTCCTCATTTAACAGATGACATATAACAGGATGCAGTGGGAGCCTGCACCTTATGCCAGCTCTGCGTACCTGAACCCCCAGTTTAATGGGATATCTTCATTCAGGAGCACGTCGTTCAGACTGCCTTTCGGGCAGTACTCCGTGATTATCGCCACGTTTGGAACTTCAATACAGCCTCCGATGAATTTACAGAGGTTTGGGTGGTCCAGTTCTCTGGGAAATCCGAGCAAAAGCAGAGGTTTAAAGGTAAAGTTTCTTGTTACATTCTGTTAAATGTTAGAAAGAAAAAAAATTGCAATCTTGCCACACCTCATCACTTGGAAACAACTCAAAGTGCTTTCACAAGCATCAAGTGTAGTAACTATTTTTGTAGATAAATGCAGCAGCCAATTTGCTGTATTGTTCCACAAACAATCATGAAGTGAATCTGGAGGATTGGTCATTTATCTGGAGAATTGTTGGCCAAGACATTAGGGGGAATGCCTTTCTCTTTTCAAATAGTGCCATGGGAACTTTAATGTTCATCTGAACAGCCATATCGGACCACAGTTTAACATCTATGTTTATTACTAACTAGCTGTACCCGTTGCAGCTACGCTTGCAACCAAAGGACCCAATATGGAATGTAGATTTCAGTGATGCCATTCACAAACCATTAAACACTGTGTGTACACCTTTAGGCTTCCATGTAGACGATATTTGCAGATTTTTCTCCTTTGGCCATGATGTACAAGCTTTGAGATGTGAGGCATGTTGTCAGAGCACCTCTGGGAGTCGACTTGGCCACCAGGCATAACTGCAGCACAAAATGCAAAACTGCCATATGTGTATGATGAGCTTGTTTAGGTCATAGCTCATCAATGATAGGAGATCCCCCCAAAAATATGCCCAGGTGTAAGGCCTTCCTGATGAGGTATAAATCATGTCTCAACGTCAACCGATTATTGCACTCTTGGCTGACGGATAGACAGTTACACAACAAAAACAACAACTTGCACTTATAAAGTGCCCTCCATGCAGGGTTCGTCTCAGAGTGCTTAACAGTGGTGGTGCCTGACTCCGAGCTGGGGGGTGGTTGGGGGCGGCGGGGGGGGGGGGGGGAGTTAGCCATAAACACGATCGAAGAGGAAAGTTTTCAGGCGGGACTTGAAAAAGGGAAGAGAGGGGACAAGGCGGAGGGATTGAGGGAGAATGTTCCAGAGTCTCGGGGCATCGTGGCTGAAAGCACGACCTCCGATATTAGGGCGGGGGGTACGAGGGACGATTGAGGAGTGAAGAGGTCGGAGAGGAAGGGAGGTGCCAGAGAGTAAAGGGATTTGAGCACCAGTGTGAGGATCTTGAAGTCGATCCGTTCGGTGATGTGGAGCCTGGTCCAGAGCTGGTGAGATGTGGGTACAGAGTTTGGTCCGAGTCAGTGTGTAGGCAGCAGAGGTCTGAATGAGCTGATTCTTTTGAATAGTGGAGCTGGGGAAACCAGCGAGGAGTACATTTGAATAATCCAGGCGGGAGGTAACAAATGCATGCACAAGGGTTTCAGCTGCATTTGGGGTAAGGTACGGTTGGAGGTGGGCAATGTGGTGGAGGTGGAAGAAAGTGGTTCTGGTCAGGAACCAGATGTAGGGGCAGAAGGACAGGTGGAAGTCGAACCGGACGCCTAGATTGCGGACTGGTTTGCTGAGTCTGAGGGAGAGCCCAGGGAGGTTGAGGAGTTTAGATCCGCAGGAGTGAATATGTTGACTGGAGCCAAGAAATGTGGCTTCCATCTTGTCCACATTCAGCTGCAGGAAGTTTACACTCATCCAGGCCCTGATGTCTGCCAGACAAGCTGAAAGAACATCGGTGGACCTGGAGTTGGTAATGGAGGAGGCAAAGTAGATTTGTGAGTTATCCGTACACATGTGGAAGTTTACCCTGTGTCTGCGGATGACAACGCCCAGAGGGAGCATATAGATAAGGAAAAGAAGGGGGCCAAGGATGGAGCCCTGGGGTACCCTGCAGATGACTGGGTGGGGCTGGGAGGGGAAACTACTGGCTGAGATGAAATGGAGGCGGTTGGTTAAGCAGGACTCAAACCATGCGAGTACGATTCCACTAAGGTGGATGAGGGAGGAGAGGCGGTGGTGGAGGATGGGGTGGTCGACTGTGTCGAACGCGGCAGAGAGATCCAGGAGGACGAGGAGGCAGAGGGAGCCCTGGTCACAGATAGAGAGGACATCGATACAGACAGATACACAGACATTTTGTCTTTCTTAGTATCGATAATAATCTCTGCATTTGATATAGCGCCTTATCACATCTTTGAGATGTCTCAAAAGAGCTTCACAGAATATACTGTAAAGTGAATTCACTATATATTTTATGGGTGAAATATTAGTCGTTTGGCTGGTCGCTTTCTGGGGGTAATAATCTTTTCCAAAAAAAATGATCCTTTGGTCACTCAATCCATGACTGAATTGACTGTGTATTTTGTGGGCAAAACTTATTAACACAAGTACACTGAAGCACATACAGATCATCAGATAGACCCTTCCATCGCATGGCACTGTGCTATAATGGCACGGTTTACTCTTGCTCACTCAGGTCAGCACTCAGGACTGGAATATTCTGGGTTGGAAGTTTCATTCGGCCCTGCACACTTTTGAGATCAATAAAATGAGTACCGTACCATGTAAAACATATCCTTGCTGGTAGGCAGTAAGTGGGGTCTCTCTGGGGCTGAACTGGCTCTGAGAAAACACACCAGGCACAAACCAGGCAATCCACAGTCTGTCTGGCTGCTCATTCTTAGCAGCCAGAAGTCTATCTCGTCTGAAGCTTCTCATGTACCTCGCTGTGTTTACCAATGGTGCTCTGCTGCTATAGCAACAAGATCACATATAACCCAGCACACAAAAAGACTGAATGCCCAGGGATGCTAATTTTTGTGAAGTGGGCTGTCTGTAACTGATGTTTAAAGCGCTATACAAATGTAATTTGTTGTTGTTGTTGTAAGAGCTGTGATACTGAAGGTGGATCATTCACTTAATAATAATCTTTATATTTGGTGTAGCGCCTTCCATGTTGGAAGGACATCTCAAAGCGCTTCATAGGATTCACTGTAAAATGTAGTGATTGTGTATTTTGTCTGCAATCCTGGCAGCCAATGTGCACACAGCAATGTCCCACAAATAGCCATGAAGTGAATGAGCAATTTTATCTATGGTGATCATTGGCCAAGACAACGGAATAAACTCCCTTCTATTATCAAATAAAGCCAAGGGATCTTTAACATACACCTGAACAGGCAGACCCTACAGGGTTTGACTGTGTACCGAACCCCCCAAACACAATGTATCTCCTCCCCATTCCCTAATACTTAGAAACAAACTTAAAAAGAGATCCAGCAACCAGCCCGCTCACCTGACTTGTTTCACTTCTTTGCGAATGACTTCGGATAGGGTAAAAGTTCTCTTTTTTATTCTCTTGGTGGCGACAGTTCGACCATCACTGTAAACACAGCAAGAATAAAACAGAGAGAATAAACAGCAAGAATAAAACAGAGAGAATAAGCAGCAAGAATAAACAGAGAGAATAAACAGCAAGAATAACACAGAGAGAATAAACAGCAAGAATGACACAGAGAATAACAGTGAGGATAACACAGAGAGAATAACACAGAGAATAACACAGTGAGAATAATACCGTAGGAATAATCATGCCATTAACATTACTCATTTTATTTTTAGAAAAGCAATGAGCAATACGTGAGAATAAGGATCTCATGTAATCCCGTAGCGCAATGATTAACGCGCTTGCCTCACAAGCGAGAGAACCTGGGGTCAATTCCTGGGGTCAATTCCTGGGTGGGGCAAAATCTTAGGCAAGTTTCCTTACTCCACATGCCTTTGTTTATCTAGTAGTAAGTAGGAACCAGGTTGTTAGTCAATTGGTGGATTGCTTTCCGGGGGTAATAATCCCTCAAGAAAATACACTACTGTTTGTGGGACACAACTGTGCCCAATTGGCTGCCACGTTTCATCCAAAGAATATACAGTCAATTCCTTTTTACAGTATATTCTGTGAAACGCTTTGAGACATCTCAACAACTCGATAAGGCGCTATAGCAAAAGCAAGGATTATAATTATTATTATGTAATAGTAGGACAGATGACCTTTGCATCAGTCTGTCTCAAAGAACATAAATGAGTGAGAGAGATCCTTTCTGGTTTTACAATCAGTGACTGGAGAGGCCTTGAAAACCATTTCAGGTTGAAGGGGAATCTTTCAGAGCCTCACTATTGCTTTGGTCGGTATGTGCCCACAAAGGCTCATGTTTGCGTCAAGGTACTGCGCTAATGCACTCTACAGACCATGAGGAGAGACTGTGATCAGTGATGTTCAGCCTGTGAGCCCCCAGGAGGAGCAGTGATACCCACCATGTTCTCCAGCTCAACTCCACCTACAGTAAACTGTAACTAAATCAATCGTAACTTGCAACAAAGAGAGATTTCTCAGAACAAAATCAGATCACGGTCATTGATTTTCTTTCCCAGAACGATAAACAGATGACGACAACACAGTATAAAATTCTGTAACTAATGTGTTCAATAATATCTCAAATTATATTTGCGATGTTTATATATTTGAGACGTGATCAATCTCAAATGAGGGGAGCTGGTTGTGACTAACTTTGTAGAAAATCCTTTCTCAAGGAGGAGAAACAAAAGATTGTTTATTAATAACAAACTGTTTTCATTTCCTTATCAGTCATTTTCTCATGGAAAAATGGTCTGCAGCTGGAGAAAGCTATGTTGCATTTGTTTTTACAAAGGAACCATATTGCAAAAGACAATAGGTGAAAGGGCACCTAACCAACAGTATAAACGGAGATTAATTCAAAGAAAGGAGAGAGAGAAGGAAGAAATTGTAACTTGGAGTCACAAACCATATTCCAGCTTCGAAAGAAGGAAGCTCAAGACTACGATTTAAACAACACTAAACTTACAATAATGCCTGGATACTTTTGGGTGATATCGAACTGGGAACCATACAACAATACTTGGATACCTTTTGATGGACATATAATTTGGTGTTAAAAGGACACATTAAAATGGACATTAAATTGGACATTGCTCCTCTATCTCTCCCACAGCATTTGGTTTGGTCAACTTAAATCGTTGTGAACTACAATACACGTGGATACGTAAGCATAATTGGATATATTCTTTTAATTACTTAAAATCATTATTAATCTGAATTAGTAAACCTTGATTAATTGTACAACATTTGTGTGAGTCCTTACATCACCACAGGGTCATGAAACTAAATTAACCCTTAAAACTGGAGAGTATCTTACCCCAGCAAAACCCATATCAGGCTATGTCTCATTGGGACCACAGGTTTTCCATGGGCTCAACCTTAAGACCATTCTGTCACAAAATTTAAATTTGTACAAAATTTTGAACAATTCTCAGATTCAGTCTTAATTTGGAAGCTGGGTTACTGCAGCGGTTTTTATGAACTGGCCTCCAAATTAAGATTAAAGTTAAAAAAAATGTAAAATTCTGCAGCGACTTGAATTTTAGGACAATGGCCTTAAGACTAAGATCCTGAGAATTCACTGCTTTGGTCCATTTAGGAGTACAGAAACTGAACAGAGGCTAAACTAAGGACTGTACACAATTGAAGAGTTACTTTTATTCCATTAATTTGTTTGATTGTTTCTTTCTTTATTTAATAATTATCTATCTATCTGGAGTCCTGCAGCTCAGCGGTCAGAGTCCTGTAGCTCAGTGGTTTTAGAGCACTCGCCTCGCAAGCGAGAGACCTGGGTTTGATGCCCAGCAGGACGAAACCTTGGGCAAGTTTCCTTACTCCACACACCTGATAATAATCCCTTAAGAAGAAAGTGAAATAAATAATAATAATAATTTGGTCACTCAATCCACGACTGTTTGTGGGACACTGTTTGCACATTTGGCTGTCACGTTTTGCCCACAAATATACAGTCAATACACTTTACAGTATATTCTGTGAAGTGCTTTGAGACGTCTCGCTGTCTGTCTGTCTTTCTGTATGTCTGTCTCTGTCTGTCTGTCTGTCTGTCTAAAGCACTCGCCTCACAAGCGAGAGGACCTGGGTTTGATTCCCAGCAGGGCGAAATGTTGGGAAAGTGTCCTACTCCACACGCCTCTGTTCACCTAGCAGTAAGTAGGAACCCAGTTAGTCGATTGGCGGATTGCGTTTCCTGGGCTAATAATCCCTTAAAAAAAATAATAATTTGGTTACTCAATCCACGACTGTTTGTGGGACACTGCTGTGTGCAATTGGCTGCCGTGTTTCGCCCACAAAATATACAGTCAATTTACTTTAAAGTATATTCTATGAAGCGCATTGAGACGTCTTGAAGACTTGATAAGTTGCTATATCAATTGCAAGGATTATTATTTATCCATCCATTGATCTAAGTTTGGCTGGAAGGTGATGGGCTCTGGTACCAGCCATCCTCAGGACCTCACCCAAGAGGCTGCTTTCCATGTGCCAGCCTGTACAGAAAGTATGGCTGAAATTCCACCCAGACTTAGCCTTCAAGACCATCTTGTCTCAAAATGCAAAATTGTAGACAATTCTTAGAGTTCAGTCTTCACCTGGAAGCCAGTTTTTCAGTTCTTAAAGAGACGCAATGGGTTTACAGGCTACAACAACAACAACAAGATTCCATTTATAGAGCGCCTTTCACGTTGGGAAGACATCCCAAGGTGCTTGACAGTCAGGGGTCAGAATCCGAGCATGGGGAGGGGTGGTGCAGGGGTGAGGGAAGGCAGAGAGGTGGGAGGGCGACCGATGGCACAATCGAAGAGGAGGGTCTTGAAACCGGCCTTGAAGGAGGCAAGGGAGGAAGTGAGGCGAAGGGACTGTGGAATGGAGTTCCAGAGTGTGGGGGCAGAGAGGTTGAAAGCTCAGCCACCAATGATAGGGCGGGTCGGTGGGAGACATGGAGCAGGCCGGAGCCCGCTGAACAGAGGGAGCGGGCAGGTTGGTAGTGAGTCAGCAGGTCAGAGAGGTAGGAGGGGGCAAGGCCATTGATGGCCTTGAAAGTGAGGATGACGATCTTGAATTAGATCCTCTGAGGGATGGGGAGCCAGTGGAGTCGGGCGAGGGTGGGAGTGATGGGGTCACGGAGCCTGGTGCACGAGAGGACACGAACTGCAGAGTTTTGGATGATTTGCAGCTTGTGAAGGTAAGAGTTGGGAAGGCGATGAGGAGGGAATTTCCATAATCAAGCCTTGATGTGACGAATGCATGGGTGAGGGTTTCGGCAGCCTCTGAGGGGTGAGGCAGTGCGGAGTCTGGCAAAGTTGCGGAGGTGGTGGCAGGCAGTGCTGGTCATGGCGCGGATGTGGAGGAGAAAGGACAGTTCAGGGACAAACAAGACACCCAGGTTCCTGACTGGCTTAGTGAGAATTTTGGACCTTGTGTCAACAGTCGATTCTGGGAAGGTGGGGGGTGTACAGCTGGTATTGGAATCACTGGCTCAGTTCAGGATGCTGATAACATTCCCCACTCCACCCCTGTCTGCCAATGTCATCACCTAATTCCCCACTCCTTCGCTGTCCAGCAGGCCAGATTGGAGAGAGATCTGGAATCCTGGCTAAGTTGTCCCACCCTGTGCCAGGAGGACTAAGGCATTGTTAGTGTTTCTCATGGGCACTTCCTGATCTCAGCTATATTTTCTCACAGGCGAGACAGGGCAAGGATGATAGTAACCTTCTTTTCCCCCACCCCTATTGTTTGCCCACCACCTTCTTGAGGACTTCCTGCTCAATGGCTTTAGAGTGGCACAGTACAGACAAAGATCTTTTAAGCATCTAACAAGCAGAGAAGTGCTTTCAGGTCACTGGAGGGAAAGTAATAGCAAAAAATAATGAATGAATGAAAAAGCAGTTAACATAGACAATGCTGAGGACAGCCAAAGGTTTAGGACAAAGATGTAAAATAACATCTGGCCTATAAAAAAGAAACACGTTAGATCCATTTCATTCACTTCCATTAATGAACTCCCAATGATGACTTCTGTGCTTAATTACAGCAGATACGAGAGTAGACTGGGGTTCACTCACAATATGCCAGTCTGGATGAAGTGTTGCTTTCTGGATGTGTTAATGGCTGCGGTACAAGAGCTGACTGTGGTGATACAGCTGGTATTGGAATCACTGATTCCATTTGGGACGCTGTTGATGCTCCCCATCCCAGTGTGCAATGAATGATCTGCAAATCAAAGACATCCCATCAGGTTCTGGCATAAAAATTATCAGGAAATCATCACAGAGATTTGGTGGCTCTGAGGAGTCTCACCTCAGATAGAATTAGTCATTGGCAGTTCGGGACATGTTGCTGGGCATAAATTGACGGCTGTGTTTGTTTACAAAATACACAGTCACAACACTTTACAGTAAATCCTGTGAAGCATTTTGAGATGTCCTCCTGACATATGTGGAGTCCTGTAGCTCAGTGGTTAGAGCACTTGCCTTCCAAGCGAGACACCTGGGTTCAATTCCAGGCAGAGGGCGAAACCTTGGGCAAGTTTCCTTACTCCACACGCCTAATAATAATCCCTCCAAAACAAAACAATAATAAATTGGCCATTTTCAATCCACGACTGTTTGTGGAACACTGCTGTTTGCAATTGGCTGCTGCGTTTCGCCCACAAATATACGGTCAATTCACTTTACAGCATATTCTGTGAAGTGCTTTGAGACGTCTCGAAGACTTGAAAAGCGCTACATCAAGTGCAAGGATTATTTTATTATTATTATTAACAAATGTAAGGATTATAGTTGAGGGGAGAGCGGGGGCGGAAAGGCTGAAATCCCGTCCACATGTAACAGGTTAATGTTACCTAAGGGGATGGGTGGGTGAGTGTTCAGGAGGCCGGGAGGTAGAGAGGGACAAGGTCATGGAGTGATTTGAAGGTGAGGATGGAGATTTGAATTCAATCCATTGGGAGATGGGGAGCTAGTAGAGCTGAGTGATACTGTACTGCCAAAATGCAATAAATGACACACACACCTTGTTTAATTTGATTGAAGTTGATAATCCAACTTTCATCCCACAACATTTTTTGCTTCTGGTACTGAAACCACTGTGATTAAAATAAAAGGAGAGGTTGCATCAGTGTGTTTTGATTCATTACATAGTTATTGCATTGGCAGATAACTTAGTGTCAGCCTGGCTGAGTGATAGCACTGTTGCCTCTGAGTCAGAAGGTTGTGGGTTCAAGGCCAACAGAAGGTCTTAGGTTACCAGTCTATGCTGCCACTGAGGTGCAGTGCTGGGCGTGTACTGCATTATTAAAATTACCATCTTTTGCAGAAGACATTAAACTAAGATCCCAATTGCGTCTTTAGGGGACATTAAAAAAGCCATGGCACTAACTGAAAAATCCAATAATAGCTGCTGCATTTGTCTACAAATACATGGAGAGAGAGTACAGAGTACACCTGTGTTTTAAGGTGCTTTAATTTAAAGTGGTTGTATCAAATACAAGGATTATTATTATTTTATTATTATGGCTTTGCAGAAGGATGTGAGGTTTGCTGGGAAGCAAGGTGGGACACGTACCACTACAGTGAGGATGAAGCCGACACAGACCAGGGAGATGGGGAAGCTGATGGCCATTTTGATGGTTGCTGTGCACTCGCCACAGTCTGCTGGGCAGGTGGAGCACGACTCATCTTCATCACAGCTGTCATCTCCACACACTCCACACGAGAAGAAAAAGATGCTCAAAAAACAATAGAAATCCGGGGGGGTGGGGGGTGAGGTTTTCTTGATAATAATAATATCACATCATTGGAACATCTCAAAATCGCAGGATGTGTTATAAAGTGGATTGACTGGTGACATGGGAATGTTAACACTGAACCCTTAAGCAGTCAATGTTTTTGATGCGAGTCATTGTTTACATTGATCTTTAAAAACTTTTAAATTACTATAGTGGAAAAGGAACAATTCACACGATAATGTTGAGGCCAAGAAAAAGCACAGAGTTCATTGATTGGCTTCATTAATCGCAATTCCTGCGCAGAACCTTGATCCACAAGAATTCTGCTGTCTTTTTCTGGGTGCAACAGAGATGAGATCACCAAACTCTGTGTAGCGCACTTCCAGTCACTGGCAAAATCACTTTTACCAAATTTTAAATTTTTCATACCAAATATACCCCATTTAATGGGATATGAGATCCCACTGAAGCTATCTAGGATTTATTTTTTTGGTCAGCTGGGTGTCTGACAGATGCGGAAACCCAACAACACTTAAGAGTATCCAAACCAAACTGAGAATTCAATACACGTGGAAATCCCAGAGATAGATTGTTGGAATGGAATGCACACTCTCTCCCTGGAGGGACACATCCTGCTTATCTAATTCTGGACAGTATTAGGCACAGGTTGGCAAGAATCAGGGCTTGGGGACCCCAGAGTACTGCTCAAGTACAACCAGATAAAACCACATAGCTTACCATTGTTAGCGCTGTCTGGCAGTTTTCCCGCTGCTTGTCCAGCTAGGACCACCCTACATGCTGGGGCTTTGGCTTGCAGGGTTAACAGGAGCTGAGTGGAGTGACTCTCTGTCCTCAGTGAGTATTCTGTCCTTAGCTTTCTACGACAAGATCTCTTATTGCATATAATTTGTTGTCACTTACCTTTTGCTGGTAAGACAGTGGTTTTGGCTTCCAGGGCAGCTTGCATGTGTCCCACCTTTATGTGAGCTATTAAGGAAGTCACGCCAAGATGTACAAGAACAACCTACAGTCAGAAAACACGAAAACAAAACCAGCATGTTTCTAAATGTGCTAATAATTGAAACATACAACTACAGTATCTGCAGATTTGCTTTTTAAAAGGTGTTTCTTCTTCTCCCATCTTTGTTTCCCCCCAAACTACCACTACCCCCAAACTCAAGTTCAGATCACTTTTGAGTTGCCCTGCTTATCTCCAAGCTTTACACTGTGCTTTACATTCCTGCCTATTCACCAAGGAAAGGTTATAATAATAATAATCCTTCTATTTGATATAGCTCCTTATCATATTAATAATAATAATCCTTGCATTTGGTATAGCGCTTTTCACGTCTTCTAGACGTCTCAAAGCGCTTCACAGAATATACTGTAAAGTGAATTGACCGTATATTTGTGGGCGAAACACAGCAGCCAATTGCAAACAGCAGTGTCCCACAAACAGTCGTAGATTGAAAATGACCAAATTATTATTGTTTTGTTTTGGGGGGATTATTATTAGGCGTGTGGAGTAAGGAAACTTGCTCAAGGTTTCGCCCTGCCTGGAATTGAACCCAGGTGTCTCGCTTGCAAGACGAGTGCTTTAACAACTGAGCAACAGGGCTCCTTGTCATTGAGATATCTCAAAGCACTTCAGAAAATATACTGTGAAGTGAATTGACTATATATTTTGTGGGCGAAAAGCGGCAGCCAATTGCACACAGCAATGTCTCACAATCAGTCGTGCGCTGAGTGACCAAATTATTATTTGTTTTTAAGTGATTATTACCCTCAGAAAGCAATCTGTTATTCAACTAACAACTAGGTTCCTACTTACTGCTAGATAAACAGAAGAGTGTGGAGTAAGGAAACTTGTCTAAGGTTTTGGCCCGCCTGGGAATCGAACCTGGGTCCTCTTGCTTGCGAGGCAAGTGCTCTAACCACTGAGCTACAGGAAAGCTTAATATAGAAAAGGAACCACTGAGCTGCAGGAAACCTTAGCATCGGAAAGTTCTTTTGTTCACACTCATTAATTTGCTGGTGTTTGCATGGTAATGAGCACATGTAAAGTACCTTGGCTGTCCAATTTGTTTGGCTCATTTTTCCTGCAGTAGATATCGTGTGAGTAATAATATGTCCATCGTCTGGGATCCATGGCCCACAAATTCCACCTTTTACCTTCATTCAAGAAAAAATAAGCATAATAAATAATAATCCTTGCATTTAGTTTAGCGCCTCATTACATCATTGAAATGACTCAAAGTGCTTCACAGAATTCAAAGTAAGGTGTAGTGAACTGAATTTTGTAGGCGAATGCAGCAGCCAATTTGTGCTCAGCATTTTTCCACAAACAGCCATGGAGTGAGTGACCAATTTTATCTGGGGGATTGTTGGCCAGGACGAAGGATCAAAATCCCTTCTCTTTTCAAATAGTACCATGGGATCTTTAACGTTCATCTGAACAGGCAGAAAGGCCCTTGGTTTAAAGTCTCATGTGAAGGGCGGTGGTGTTAATTTAAACTGTTTAAATATGTTGGCTGTGTTCCAACAAAATCTCATTTAAGTGATATCAGGGACGAAGTTGCAGTTTAGCATTCCTAAACAGATTCTGTTCCTTATTGAAGACTAAACTTCCTTATAGGCACAGACGTGACTGGTCTGAACAACCTTCTATGCTGAAAGTTTCTATGTTTCGATGTTCAAATTATGCTAAAATGTGTTATGCGATCTCCTCCTCCCCAACCCAGCTTCTAAATAATAATGGCATACACAGACCTGGGTAAGAAGCCCTGGGGGACAGCATCTTAGATTCCCGCAAAGTTTACAAGATACTGAGTCCTAACTCCAAATTGATCCTTCATTTCATCACAGGAAGACTGTGAAGCTCAGCAAAGCAACACAACAACAACAAATTAGATTTATATAGCGTCAGGGGGACATCCCAAGGCTCTGGATTAGGGTTAGGGTTTGCACCTGAGCTGGTGTTTGGAATCAATAGCGTTGGAGGTAGGGGAGTGCTTGTAGATAAAGGCACAATCAAAGAAAGACTTGAGACGGGCCTTGAAAAAGCCGATGGAGGGATCGAGACGGAGGGATTCGGGAATGAAGTTCCAAAGATGGGGGGGGCAGAAAAGCTGAAAGTCAGTCTGCCAATGATGGGACGGGCAGGGTGGAGGACAGGGAGCAGGCCAGTGCCCGCCGAACAGAGGGAGTGAAGAGGTTGGTATGGTGCTAAGAAGTCGCAGAGGTAAAAAGGAGCACTAGTCACTGACCATAAACGACAGCGGGCAGGAGTGGATGTTGGCATGGTGAACACAGCAGTTGTCTTCGTTTGCATTTTTCCAGTCTGAGGGGCACTCCTTCTCTTCACAGAAGGCCTTTGCTGCACTGGCGTTGCTGAAGGCAAATGAGTAGATGTTCAGATAAACAGCACAAGGCAGAAAAAGCGTTCATCAGAGATCAAAGTCTGCTCCTCGCGAAACTAATTCCATCGTTGTAACCAGAAATTGTGGGAAACGTTTCACGTTGCCATGTGGACAAAGAGCAATTACGACATAATCACAAGATCAGTTCATACAAAGAGACCCTTCAGCCCATCTGCTCTCATGCCTCCAGAACACCCACCCAACCATCTTCTCTACTGCATCAAGCTGCTTTTTAAAATGTCCTGTGTCCTGGCCTCAACCACCCTTAAGGAAATCTGTCGTAGTGGTTGATTACCCTCTGGGTAAAGGAAAAATTCCTGGTGTTGTCCTGGAATTGTCCTTTACAACTCTAAATCAATGTCCTCTTGCTCTATTGTCTTGGTGCATCTTAAAACATGTCCTGGGTTTAATCTTTCAATCCCATTTAACCTCTACAAGATCCCCTCTGAGATGTCTTTTCTCAACACTGAAGAGCCCTATCTTTTCTAATATTTGCTCCTTGCTCATATAACAAGGAAATCCCAACTGGAGATCACATTTTAGGCTAATTCCCATACTGTTTTCCTGATGTTCACTTTTTCAATCCCCACCACCTTCCGACTTCCCCCCACAGTGTAAAAGCCCTTTCATGGTCCCTGCCCGAGCCTCCCCCTCCACTTTAAATGTTTCTCCTCCCACCTCCCTCTATCCGCTACTCCCACTCTGTCCTTCTCTCCCACTGTGCCCCCCACCTTCTCTCTCTCTTCGACCCCATCACCACTTCCCTCTGCTCCAGCCTGGGCATCCTCCACTGGGCCCATCGTGGCTCCCGGCACTGGCTGTCCCAGAACAGCAACCCCACACGTCCAATCATTCACTCCCTCCACACAAACCGCCTCCTTAAGGCAAACACAACATTCCCTTCCCTCATACGTACCCTCCACAACTCTCCACTCACACCACTCTCCACAACCATCTCTCCTGTACACCCTGAAATCCTTTCCGCATCACTTTCTCCTCCCTCCAGCAAACCCACCTGCATTTCCCTCGAAAATGTCCGTTCCCATTCAAACAAAGCCCTCACCATCCATGACCTCATCCTAGATGAGCGTCTCGACATTCTTGGGCTCACAGAAACCTGGCTCTCCCTCAATGACCCCGTCCCCCTAGTTGAAGCCTCCCTTCCAGGCTCTCCTTCCACCCCCCTGTCCAAACCAATGTGGCGGCCCTTGTTCTTACCCACTACTCCTCTGGCCCCTCCTCTGAGCACCTCACCCTCTTCCACCCCTCTCTCCCACTGAAAATCCTCCTAGTCAACCACCCCCTTAAGCCTCCCGGCTCCTTCCACACAAACATCTCTACTCTCCTCTCTTCCCTGTCCCTCTGCTCCGATCGCCTGCTCATAATGGGCAATTTCAACCTACACCTAATCTCCCCTGCACCACGTCTTCCGACTTCACTGCCCTCCTCTTCTCCCTAAACCTCACCCTTCACATAAATTCACTGACCCACAACCGTGGTCAGGCCCTCGACCTTGTTATCACCCATGACCTTGACATTTCCGACCTCAGCATAGTGGACAAGGCCATCTCGGACCACTTCCTCATCTCCTTCTCCTCTCACATCCCTCTCTCCTCCACCAAGCCCTCAACCATTCTCTACCGCCCATGGAAAAGGCTACCCCCTGAAACCCTCACAAAGGGCCTCACAACCTCAAATATCCTATCCCTCTGGCCTTCCACCCCTGGAGATCCTGAAGCAGCCGTCCAGCTGCTCCATGATCGCCTCTCCTCCATCTTCAACTCCCTCGTTCCCCTGAAATCCAGGACCATCTCCAAACCCACTCGATCCCCCTGGTACAACAACCATCTCCAATCCCTAATAACCCAAACCCGGATGCTTGAGCGCAGATGGCAGAAAACTGGCCTGACAGTCCACCGCCAACTGTGGCTCGAGCATCTCCACAGCTACCGTCGTTCTTTGACACGCGCAAAAACGGCCTTCTACTCCAACATCATCTTGGAGGCTAAACACAACGCTAAAATCCTTTTTTCCACCACCCACTACCTCCTCCGTGTGCCCCCTCAGGCCTCCTCAATCTTTACATCCAATACCAAGTGCGAGGAGGTCATGGACTTCTTTTCATCCAAAATACACAACATCCGCCAGGCAGCCTCATCCACCTGCCTCTTGTCACCCACCACCACGCCCTCTCCATCCCCCTCACCCTCCCCATCATCAGCTCCTACCATCACCCCCATCCTACATTCCTTCCTCCCCATTCTCTTCTTCCTCCCTCTCACCCACCATCACCTCAATAAAACCCACCACCTGCTGCCTCGAACCCCTCCCCACCAACTTGCTGGTCACCCAGCTCCCCCTCCTCTGCCCACTACTGGCTGATGTCATCAACCAGTCCCTCTCCTCCGGATCAGTCCCTGCCCCCCTCAAAACTGCTGTCATCAACCCCCTCCTCAAAAAACCTTCCCTAGATCCCTCAAACCCCAGCCACTACTACCCCATTTCTAACCTGCCCTTCCTCGCAAAAGTCCTAGAACACGTTGTTGCCAATCAACACGTTGTTGCACACCTCTCCTCCCACTCCCTCTTCGAACCCCTCCAGTCCGGTTTCCGCCCTGTCCACAATACAGAGACTGCGCTTGTGAAAGTCTCAAATGATATCCTCTCTATCTGTGACCAGGGCTCCCTCTGCCTCCTTGTCCTCCTGGACCTCTCTGCCACTTTCAACACAGTCAATCACGCTATCCTTCTCCACCGCCTTTCCTCCATCATCCACCTCAGTGGGACCGCACTCGCCTGGTTCGACGAACCGCCAGCAGTACATCTGCACCAACGGCTTTTCCTCCCGCTCTCACCCGATTACCTGTGGGGTACTCCAAGGATCCATCCTTGGCCCCCTCCTCTTTCTGATCTACATGCTCCCTCTTGGGGATGTCATCCGCAGACATGGGGTACACTTCCACGTGTATGCGGACGACACCCAACTCTATTTTTCCACCTCTCTTTGCGACCCCCAGTCCCCTGATGTTCTGTCAGCCTGCCTGTCAGACTTCAGGAGCTGGATGAGCGCGAATTTCCTTCAGCTGAACTTTGACAAGATGGAAGCCATACTCTTTGGCTCTTGTCAACATCTAAAATCTCACGGTTCTCACCTCCTCCACCTACCCGACCTAGGCGTCAGGTTTGACCCCCAATTATCTTTCCTCCCCCACATCCGGTCTCTCACCAGTACTACTTTTTTCCACCTCTGACGCATCGCCCGTCTCTGCCAATACCTCACTCCAAAACCCGCTGAAACCCTGGTCCATGCCTTTGTCACCTCTCGGCTGGACTATTCAAATGCCCTCCTCGCCGGTCTCCCCTCCACTACCATTCATAAAATTCAGGTCATACAAAACTCTGCCGCCTGCATTCTTGCCCGCACCAAACTCTGCTCCCCGATCACCGCAGTCCTTGCCAGACTGCACTGGCTGCCTGTCCCAGAGAGGATTGACTTCAATATCCTCACCCTTGTATTCAAATCCCTCCATTCCTCTGCACCCCCCTACCTCTCTGACCTCCTCTCTCCTCACAACAGTGCCCATTGCCTTTACTCCACTGGGACTGGCCTCCTCTTTGTCCCCCAAGTCCTCCACTCCACCATTGCCGGCCGTGCCTTCAGCCACTATGCCTGAGGCTCTGGAACTCCCTTCCTCACTCCCTTCGCCTCGTCCCCTCTCTTCCCACTTTCAGGTCTCGGCTGAAGACCTTTCTTTTTGACCGCGCCTTTGGTCACCTTCCTCCCCCTCCCCTTGGCTCGGCCCTGGGATCCGTTAATGTGAACCACTCTGAGACGCCATCTGGCATTGTTGTTGTTGTTGTTGTTATACATCAGCACTTCCCATAGTCTCCATTCCTGATCCAGCACCAAACACTACTATGATCTCCTCTCTGATTCTGCCACAACCGATGTGCGTAATCTTTCGCTTTATCCAGGCAATCGTGTCCATGGCTGAAATATACCCTCTCTTCCATCACATCAAATGTCATCTCCAAATACATATTGTACATCCTAAAATGCATCCTAATGCTCCAAATCTCCACAGCATCTCTTACCATCATTCCAAGCCTTCTCTCCTCCATCACAGAGATTTACACCTTCTATTATAGGTATTTGAAGTTCAGCTATCTCAACCATAATGTAGCACTTGACCAAGCAGTAAAATGAGCTGCCTCCTGTTATGTTTCCTCTGGCAGCCCACTAATGTATCAGGAAGCAGTTAGCGCCAAATGTGGTGACATGTATCTGCAATAGAAATGCAATACCTACATGTGCAAGAGCATTCTGTTCTCCACAGCCCAATAGTAAAAATGATCTGTCACAGTAACTGAATATGTCACATTAAATTCTTCACCACTGAGGACTTTCTCTGGAGGTCTCCGGATCCAAGCCATTTCTAGACCTAGAAAACATAAGAACATAAGAATATAAGAATTACTAAATGAAAGAAGACCAAAGTCCATCCAGGTCGCCTTCCACCATCCTGGCAGTTGCACGCACATGTCATGTCCCAAACTATATACTGTATCCCAAGATATTATTTCCTAAAAGAAATCTGTCTAATTTGCTTTTGAAAGCATCAACACTTTCTGCTTCCACCGTCTTCCTAGGAACAACACGGACAAACAAGAGAAATACTCAATGTAAATGTAAGGTGAGGTATATTGGGATGGAAAAAAGTGAACATCTATACACAGTGAAAGGTTATCCATTTGGTGCTGGAAAATAAGAGGATGTTGGTGTGATTATTGAAATAATAATAACACCTTTTCACGTTGGGAGGTTGCCTCATAGCATATCATAGGATTTATAACAACACTGCTTGCATTTGATATAGCATCTTATCATGTTATTGAACATCACAGGATTTACTGTAAAGTATAGTGACTATGTTTTGTAGGGGAATGCCATGAAGTGAGTGCTCAATTTTATTTGGGGGATTGTTGGCCAGGACACTGAGAAAAACTCCCTTCTCTTTTTGAATAGTGCCATGGGATCTTTATTGTCCACCTGAACAGGCAGCTGGGGCCTCAGTTTAATGTTATACCTGAAAGATGGCACTGAGGACAATGCAGCACACCCCACTACTACACTGGAGTGTCGGCCTAGACTGAGTTCAAAGTCCTGGTGCGGGTTTTGAATTCACAAGTTACTCTAAGACCTGTGGAAAACTGGCTGCCTAAATTTTATAATAATAATAATCACATTAAAAATAATAATAATAATAAATATTCCCAGTCCTGCCTGTTTAGCATCTCATCTGAAGGACGGCAACTCCAACAAAACAGCAATCCCCCCCCCCCAGTATTGTATTAGAATGTGTCATGGTCACCTCATTTGTTTTCTATGCCTGTCTGTTGTTTAAATATATTGAGTAGTGCTTTAAATACATTTTTTTAAATGTATTTAACGTTTTTCATACTTATGGTGTCATCAAGTCTGACTCTAGCATCGAGTGCGGCAATTTGACGGGTAATTTAACAATCCAATAGGCAAATGAAGGATTGGAAGTGAACTTGTCCCCTAATGGGCAACTGAGGGGAGGATCTGATTAGACCCTAAGAAAGGCCCCAAGTACATTAAGTAATTGGAGCAAAACAATTCCCATTGGGTGCCCTAATTTGCGGAGGGGCTCAATGCCCATAAAAGAACAAGCGCCATGTGCTCACGGTCGACAACAAAGATACGTGCGCTGACTTTTAATGAATAGTAGTCAGAGGTTGGTTCTCCGTGCACTTTTACATTAACTTGATTAGAAGTGGCTGCTAGCGTGTGTAGTTTAAGTGTGATTAATGTTTGTTATCTCATAGTTGTGTTTGTTGATATTCATCGTGTTGTTTAAGATTTAAAGTTGAGGGTTGTGGATTTCATCGAAGTTACAATAAAATTCTGTTGATCTAACTTGACAGTGCTTTCTCGAGCTTTCTGTATAAATCAAAGGAAGGAATACACAAACAGGTTCAGCCTGGGTCACAGTGGTGTAAAATAAACCTCTGACTTCCCAATTCGCTTTAATTTAAATAGCAATTGGTAGCACCTGTCATTCTGGAAGAATCATTAGTCAAGTTACACCGAGTTATAGGGACTTGCATTCATTGGTGAGGATTGAACACAGAGGCCATCCAGTACACACTGCGAGGGAGAGCGAGCCATATCGTGGGTGTACATATAAGGCTGATAGAACCGTCTCAAATGTCAGCTTAGACTATGTGATTCCAAGTCCCGATGTGGGGTTTGAACCCACAACCTTCTAACGCAGAAGGAAGAATGCTGTCACTGAGCCAGGCTGACGCACAAACCATTTTCCCTGGAAAGCGAACTGCCAATCGACAATCAACCGGGTTCCTATTTAAATGCCCACTATATGAGGTTTTACTGCACTGTTACACTGTTGTTATAAAGCTTCAGCGCTTTGGGACATTCTCCAGACATGAAAGGTGCTCTATAAATGTAATTTTGTTGTTGTTGTTATATAGAGAAGGGATTTATCAGGGAACGAGAAAACACATATATCTCTGGAGCTCACTTAAGTTTCCCTGCTGGGGGACAACTGGGCACAGGGACAGGGCACGGGAGGTCTTTCGACTATTTTCATCAGCAAATTGTACTTAAGCTTAAAAAAACTGAAATGAACTTTGCAAAATACAATAGAAAGATAAAGAAAAGGAAGGTAATGTCTTGCCCACAAAAATATACAGTGAATCCATTTTACAATATATTCTGTGAAAATCTGATAAGGCGTGATATCAAAAGCAAGGATTATTATTATTGAGAAACAGATTCTACACAATCAGACTGAAATATGAATACTAAGCCTTTCACTGGATAGATTTTCATTAGTTCAATAAGGGCATCTTTTGCTTTATTTCTATCACATTGCCTCCTGCTCGCCCACTTTAACAGATGCACGTTTAACTGGCGAACAACTTTAAAGGTCTATCGCTTGTGAGACCAGATCTGGCTGTGGTTTCATTGACATTTGCACGAAATGTCCATCGAGATGGATTTAGATTTAGCCGCAACTTCAGACCCTAAGATGCCAATAAGGCGGGGAGGAGGGGAAGAGATTGATTTAATACAAAACTGCCACTGCCCCTGTGCATATATCCCTAAAACATATTCTCAAATACCCTAATGATTTGTAAACAAAAACAAATGAATCCAATCACAGCTCCACTGACAGAGTGCATTAAGTGTGACCTGTTATGCAATATAAACCGCAAACACACAACTTGGGTGTAAGTGAGAGCAGAAATGTCGATATTCCCATGGTGATAAGTTTATGTACAGCCCTGTGTATTTCTCTCTACTCTCCAGCCCTCCTTTTAATCCACTTTGCTCACAAGTTTACTTGCTCCCCCGTTTCCATTCATTTAAAAATAATAATTAATAATAATAATAATAATGAGGGAAACTGGATTTTTCCCCCTCTATTAGCATCGTGGATTAACATTTTTTAATGTTGAACCAGGATGTCCTTGATTTTAGTTTTAATGCAACTCCATTTTAATTTAAAAAGGAATTAAAACGTTCCCTTTTAATTTGAATTACTTTTCATTTTAATAACGGTTCGTTTGAATTGATTTTTAATTTGAATTCAAAGGAAAACCACACGATTAGCTGCAGTGACGGTGATCTCTGAGGCTGATGGCTATTTGAACGTGAATCCGAAACCCTCCAGACTGCACAAGGACCAAAGACAAATAAATACATGTCCATTTCAGTGGCCTCTGGTGTCTGTCTCTCCCACTCACTCACTCTCTCTGGTTTGGGAATCGTAAGTTAACATATCTCTTACTGATTTATTGAGTCATTTACAAATTTGCTTTTTTTAAAAAAAAAGAAATCGTTCTCCAAAGGATGAGATGTGATGATTATTTGCTGCTAAATGTAAATGTAATTTTGTCGTTGTTATTGCTAGACTATTATTCCATTACTGATCGCTTTCTAAGTGTGACATCTCACATCCACAACTCGCTGCTTTGCAATTAATTGCTCCAGAGATGGAAAGGGCAAACACTTTAGTTTCAATTCGATTCGCAAAAGATCCTGATATACAGTATGTCATTAAAGAAACATGAAACAAATGGGGAGAATTTCCACCTACGTTTACTCTTCTTTATGTCGCATTTCAGAATGTCCAGAATTCGGCAAATTGTTAAACGCACCTTGAATATTTAATTATTATTACTATCCATTATTTATTATTAATCATAATTAATATTGTAGATTTATATATCCTGATGTGTGTTAATATATATATATATCCTGACATCCTGATATATATATATATGGTTGCAGTAAGATCTCTCCCACACTTTATATTAATATATATTTTATATTAGAAAAACACCACGTACTCACAACCCCACTTCTCCAAACAGAGTTTCGGGGGAGCGCAGTGTAGTGGTTTGAAGATTTGATTCCCCAGTCGCTTGTTGTGTGTGATCTGATCATGTCTGTAGTTATCTGGGAAGCTGTTATATTGCATTTACACTGAACTCACTCACCCCCGCAGTCGATCATGTTATACTCGTGTGGGTTTTGCAATGGCCAGCAATCATATTCCGTGTTGTCCAGGTCGTGCCAACCTCGGGCGCTTTTCCTTTGCATCGTCTTAAAAACAAGAGAATAAACAGATAACATCAAACGGATAATATAAAGAGAATATTGGATGCAGAATAATCCGTAAATGATCGACCTGATCGACAGCCACCGATTGCCCCTTTTCCCCAACCATCACCCCCATAAAACGCTGAACACATCTGTATGTCTGTTTGAGTAATCTGTGTGTATTTTTACAATCCAGATGTTTCAGGTTTTTTTATTGACAAGTGAACATTTCCAATGTTCATTTTTTGTGAAGCAAACAAAGTTTTGTATTCTGAATTGTAGGCTAATTTGCAACTAAGTATTGACACCTTGTGGTCTACACATACACTGAATGGTGCTCTGAACATCCACTGAAGTAAAAAAATAATCTACGTACAAGTTGGTACATTTATTGTTTTTCTTTGCAATTGTCACAGTCGGTTTTGGCGGCTGCTATATTTTATGTCTTTTTTGCACGTGTTTTGATTTGATGTGTTAACCTACCAGTAGACACAGAAGAGCCCAGTGAGCGAAGCCATCAGATGTCAGAGCTAGCATAGTCCACCTTAACTGATGTCAGGCGCCAGGTGCTGTTGTGGTTGAACTAAAAAGTCTGTGTTTTGCTAAACCTTCTTTGAGCACCTTTCAGTCCCAGCTGGGCTGTGGCTGTGAGCATGCGCCTGACATCCGAAACGTTCACAGTCTAGGGAGAATAAGGAGAGAAAGGGGGTGGACTGACTGTACATCAACCCCCCACCCCCAACATCAATCACTAAGACTCCGCATCAAATCAGAAAGCAGCCACTTCACACAAACAGCACATCAGCCACAGCCAGAAAAAATACCAAGTTCCTTGTTGGAACATTTTACTATACAGGTAACCAACCTATCCCCTCCATCCGCTCGGTGGGCACCTGCCTGCTCCACAACCGCCACCCTGCCCACTCCACTACTGGCAGTCGTGCCTTCAGCCTTTCTGCCACATGTCTGGAACTCCATCCCAGGGCCCTTCCACCTCGCCCCCTCCGTTCCCTCCTTCAAACCCGTGTCAATACCTTCGTCTTCGACCATGCCTTCAGTCAACCTCCAACCCCAACCCTGTAGCTCTCCTTGAATCCGACCGCCAGCTCGGGTGCAAAACCTTCATGGGACGTCCTTCCGACATGAAAGCCACTGAATAAATGTAATTTGTTGTTGTTTGCACATAAAACTGGGGATTTTTGCCCCAAAGCACCTAGTTAAATGAATACAGAAATGAGTTGTGCAGTTGGCTTTGAATTCTGAGCAATAACATTGCCGCCCAACCTCTGCAACATCTGTGTGACAAGACAACAAGCCTGCAAAAGTGCTTTGCACGACACCTATCTGAGTGCAGGAGGGGAAGGCAGTTTCTCTCATGAAAAACAGTCGTGCAAAAGCAGAACGAATTAACACTGGAACCTTTCAGGTTAGAGTATGTCGGGGAAATTGACATTGAGAGTTAACAAGGTAAAGGCTGATCTTCACTGGTCTTTCCCATGTTCTCAAGAATATATTATCTTGCTCTTCATTTTCAGTGATTAAACAACAGCCTACATTTAATAAGGATCCTTGCATTTGAGTTAGCACCTTATCACATCATAAAAATGCCTCAAACTGCTTCCCAGCAGTAAATTTTCACACAGCAATGTTCTGCAAACAGCTATGAAGTAAATTACTCATTTTATCTGGGGCATTTATAAGGCAATTTTCAAGAAATAGAACATCACACTTGTTAATTATAGAGGTGGATTGTCTCTACTTATCTTCTGTTCTTTTACAACAACAAATTGCATTGTGGTGCTGTGATGTGAAGGAGTTTATGTAATACAAATAATGGGTGCAGATGAGAATTGGCAATTTTGTGTTTTTCTACTTGTGGCTTCCCTGCATTCCACAAAAGATGATTTAATTCCCAGCTCTCAGAGATGCTTTCTCCCCACTCTATGCTGGATCAGCTGATCTAAACAGGACAATAGTTGGGAGCTACACTGGGGTCTAATTTGTTAAACATTTTTAAAATTATGAAAGGATTGAATAGGGTGGATGTTAAAAGTTTGGTATTTCTTTGGCTGGCCGGGTGTCTGACAAATGTGGAAACCCATCACCATGCTTAAGAGTCTCCAAAGCAAACTAAAAATTCCATGCATCCCACCTACACATGGAAACTCCCAAGATAGATTGTCAGAATGGAATGCACACTTTCTCGCTCAAGAGTATTAAGCGTAGGTTGGTAAAAGCCAAGGCCCAGAATGTGCATTGGGGTACTTCTGGAGTCAAGCCAGCTAAAGCTGCATAGCTTGCCATTGGAGTCTACTCCTACCTTGAGTGTCTGCTCCTCCTGCCGATGAGCTAGGTTGGCTTCTTTGTTATCAGTAGTAATCCGGTACTGTGGACCCGCCTGGCTCAGACACAGGACTACTGAGAGTACCACATAGGGTTGATTTCATTCAGACATTTCATTGTCAAATACATTCATTGCTTTGGAGGTAGCTCAGCTCCAAAAGAGACCCCACTTAACTCCCCTCCCCTCACCCCCCACCACACCCCACCTTTCCTTGTTGGCAAATCCAAACGAGGGGGTGTAAACATAAGATAGTCGGCAGCAGATTTGAAAGGGAGTAAGAGGAACTCCTTCAGGCAGAATGTGGAATTCACTGCCGGAAGCTGTATTTGAAGCAAAAAGCAATAATATATTTCAAAGGGAATTTGATGTATATACGACAGAGAAGATAATAATAATAGTGGTATAGCATCTTTGTTTTTGGTTAGCCGGGTGTCTGACACATGTGGAAACCCATCATCATGCTTAAGGGTAATCAAACCGAACTGGGAATTCCATGCATCCAACGGAATGTCAGAATTGAGCGAGCCCTCTGTGGCGGTCCTGGAAGTCCGTTCCTGAGCCAGACGGGTCCACAGTATTCCAGGGCACTGCTGATGACAGCACAGTCATCTGGCTCATCGGCAGGACTTGGAAGGCCAGACAAGTCACTGGGGGCAGAGAGTCATTCCACTCAGCTCCTGTTAACCCTGCAAATCAAAGCCCTTAACAGGTAGCGTAGTCCTAGCTGGACAAGCAGGGATCAAGTCATTGAACACATCGAATAGGGTGGGTGACAACCAGCCTGCCTTCCTCCCCTTTCAAGAGGATGGGCTTAATAAGAGCTTTTCATGGATCTTGTCTTATAGACATATTCTGGATAAAATCCAGGATTGAGCCATGTATTCCCGTGGTTTCCAGTTTCATTATGATGGCTTCATGAAACACTCGGTCAAAAATTTTGCAGAAGTCAAACGTTTCAGATGGGGAGGCCATTATAAAATGAAGATATCTCAAAGCCCTTCACAGGAGTTACTGTAAAGAGTAGTGACTGTATGTTTTATGGACAAATATAGCAAACAATCTTCACATAGTAATGTCCCACAAACAGGCATGATGACCAATTTTGTTGGCCTGGACAGCAGAAGAAACTCCCTCCTCTTTTTGAATAGTGCATTGGGATCTTTAACATCCACCTGAACAGGCAGACATTACTTTGCTTTAACACCGCATCCAATGCACCTCCAACAATGTTGAACACCCCCAGCACTGCACTGGAGCATCAGCCTAGACTATGAGTTCCACGTTATGATATGGGACTTGAATCCACAACCTGCTGACTCAGAGACGAGAGTGCTACTAACTAAGCCAGGCTGACACACGATAGAGGACTGTAGGTGAGAGGTAGTGGTGGAAGCTTACGTGGAATATACACACTGGCACACAGACATGTTGGGCTGAATGGCCTGTTTCCCTGCTATAACATTCTATGTAATACTACGTACACATGGCTGGAAGAAATTACAGTTGCCCTTAGTTATTAATTAAAAGCATGACAAGTGATCTTGTAAACCTATTCACTGGTTATTTATCAGTTTAATATTACTTGTAATCTCCTCTGTAAACATGTTAATGCATGGTTAGCACTGCCTGCAGATTGGGCTGCACCGTGTGCTGTTAATGGATAAACCTGAGCCTTCCCTGAGGACTGCAATATGTACACTTGTACATTGAGTTTTAGCACCACCCAGTGGAACATGTGGAAATGACCACAAGTTCTCGCAGCAACAAGAACTTATAATAATAACCTTTCCATTTGATACTGCACCTTTCATGTCTGAAGAGCACTTCACAAGAATTTTGCAAAGTGTTTATTTGTAGGAGAATCTTACAGCCCATTTGCACACAGCAATGTTCCACAAACAGCTATGAAGTGAATGACCGATTTTATAATAATAATAATCCTTGCATTTGATATAGCGCTTTTCACGTCTTCTAGCCGTCCCAAAGCGCTTCACAGAATATGCTGTAAAGTGAATGGACTGTATATTTGAGGGCGAACGTGGCAGCCAATTGCGCACAGCAATGTCCCACAAACAGTCATGGATTGAAAATGACCAATTTATTATTGTTTTGAGTTTTGGAGGGATTATTATTAGGTGTGTGGAGTAAGGAAACTTGCCCAAGGTTTCGCTCTGCCTAGAATTGAACTCAGGTCTCTCACTTGCAAAGCGAGTGCTCTAACCACTGAGCTACAGGACTCCCCTTATTTGAGGGATTTGTTGGCCAGGACACCAGGAGAAACTCCCTTCTCTTTTTGAACAAGTGGGCTGTTTAATGTCCACCTGAACAGGCAGACAGGATCTCGGTTTAATGCCCTGGGAGAACATTCACCAGTGAGGGAGGGAGGGAGGGAGAGGAAGTTGGAATGTTGGAAATGGTCACGGACCAGATAAAATCAGCCACAGGGTCAGCTGCTGCCTGCGGGCTGCCCCTTGGACCACATTGGTCTATCTAATAATTTACACACTCTGCCTTCAAAAAAGGTAATTTGCCAGTGGTGCAGTACCCGACTCACACACCACTCACTCTGGGAACCAGAAACTTGGCAACCTGCGCCTCACACTCTCAGGAATTAGATAAGCTGGGTGCATCACTCCAGCGAGAGAGTGCACAGTCCAATTTGGATACGCAGAAATGTATGTGTGGGTGATGTATCTGTGTGGAAATCGTAGTCTGGTTTAGATACTATTAAGCACGGTGATAGGTTTTTTACATGTCGGCTGACCAAAATTAAAAATTGTTGGATGAGGTTTGGCAAGGGTTTAGAGAAGAGCAACAACAACAACAAGATTACATTTGTATAATGCCTTTCACGTCGGGAGGACGTCCCAAGGCGCTGGACAATGTACAGCATTTCAGACCCGAGCTGGTATCAGGGTGGGAGAAGGGAGGGGAGGGGAAGGGGGGTGGCCGATGGGATGGTCAAAGAGGAAGGTTTTGAAGCGGGACTTGAAGGAGGCTAAGGAGGGGGCGAGGCGGAGTGATTGGGGGATGGAGTTCCAGAGGTTGGTGGCAGAGTGGCTGAAGGCTCTCCCATCAATAGTGGGGTGGGTGGGTTGGTGGACGTGGAGCAGGCCAGAGCCATCTGAGTGGAAAGAGTGGGCAGGTTGGTAGGGGGTTAGGAGGTCACAGAGGTAGGGTGGGGTGAGGATCAAGATCTTGAACTGGATCCTCTGAAGGAAAGGACACGGGCTGCAAAGTTCTGGATTATCTGCAGCCTGTCGAGGGAGGAGTTGGGAAGGCCGACACGCAAGGCATTTGTATAGTCGAGCCTGGAGGTCGTGAAGGCATGAACAAGAGATTCAGCGGCCTGAGGAGTGAGGTAGTGCCGGAGTCGGGCGATGTTACAGAGGTGAGGGAAAGCAGAGCGGGTCATGGCTTGGATTTGGAGAAAAAAAGGCAGTTGAAGGTCGAACAAGACACCTGGGTTCATGACTGGTTTGGTGAGTTGAAGTGTGCAACCGTGGAGGTTGATGCTGCCAGAGCCTGAAGTGCTGAGGCGCTAGCACGAGTCAATCAGGAGGGCCTCAGTCTTGTTCACATTCGATGTAGAAGATTTGCCCTCATCCAGGACTTGATGTCCGACAGGCAGTCTGTCAGGCCAGCAGTGGTCCTGGAGTTGAGGGTGGAGGCAGAAAGGTAGATTTGGGTATTGTCCGCATACATATGGAAGTTGACCATAAAGAGAAACACATGATATTGAGAGTGCGTTTTGGCTGATGCCTCTGACCTGAGCCACCCCATACCACCATCCTGGCAGTCGCATGACATGTCGTATCCTGAGATATATACTGTATCCCGAGATATTATTTCCAACCAGAAATCTATCTAATTTGTTCTTGTAAGAATTAACACTTTCTGCTTCCACTGTCTCCCTTGGAAGCCTGTTCCATACGTTTATTACTCGCTCACTTGTGAGGAATTTACACTAATCTCACAAGCCGGGGCATAGATGGGTTGCCAACTTTCCAGCTTCTCAAACCCCTAGGGCCCAGTACCATGCTGTATGTTTTTCACGTATCACTAGGAAAATGAAAAATTGCACACTATATTGATATTAAATTTCTCACATATAACTTTTTCTTATTTCTTCTCTACCTTTTAGAATGATACTGTACTTCTTTTCTTTTCCTGATGCCATCACAAGCAACGCCTTGATCTTGGCACCTCTCAGTGTCTCCCTGAATTAAAGAAAACCTTACCTGTGAGCGAGGGAAGTGTTCGGGCTGTGTGTAAATCCATGTGTGGGCACATTTTAAATTATTTCTTGTGAGCCTGGCACACGAGCCCACACAGCCCAGGCACTTCCCACCCTCACAGGTAAGATTTTTTTATCGCTACCCTCTTGGAATGTTGGGAGGTCTGCAATAACAGGACTTTTGGTGTCTGTTCAGCGCTTCTGAACGGGCACTGTAAAGATTGCCTTCAAACCAGACTTTCCACTCTGAAACCGGATAGTTCACTTGCTTAGACCCTCCACAGCTATGTTGGTCAACCCGAGGCCCACAGGCCGGGAAATGGCCCACCAGGTCATCAAGGAGTAGCCCTCTGAACATTAGCACTAGTCTAGGTGAGTCTGTTTTAAATCATTGTTTTGCTTGCAGTAGCTACTGAGTGGCTTTGCTTTCGGTAGGGCCTTAAGTTAAGTCAAGAAATAGACAATCAAGAAAATGTATTTGGTTGGCCGACCAAAAAAGATTGGCCACCACTGCTCCATAGAGCATTGTCAAACAACTCTTCCCTCCACAAGCCACAGATTATTCAGAATTTTGCAGCTCGTGTTCTCTCCCGCACTAAACTCTGAACCCATCATCCCATTGCTTGCCCTCGTCCCTCCTTTGCATCCCACCTTGTCCCTCCTTTGCATCCTTCAAGGTTCATCTCAAAACCTTCCTTTTAAATAGTACTTTTGGTCATCGTTCCTCCTCCACTCTCCCTTGCCCTACACTCCTCTATGATCTCAACCCTCAGCTTGGGTGCAAACCCCTCATTGTCCAGCGCCTCAGAACATCTTCCCAACATGAAAGGGGCTGTATAAATGCAATTTGTTGTTGTTATTTAGTAGGATGATCATAAGTTTCCGATTTCCTGTGACAGTCCCCGGGTGAGGTATTGTGTCCCTGGGGCCAAATTTGCTCTGGTTTTGAGTTCAGCAACAAACTGAGCAAGAACAATAACAGATACACTCAGCAGAGAAACACTGGTTAATCCAACAAGCTTCCCCAGTAATTACCAACATCTGCAATTATACTGAGTTACATAGTTTTGTGTATGTGTGTCCCCAGATTTAATTTACAAAATATAGTCACCCTATCTTTAGTATATTTGTATCAGATCGGTTTGAATTTGCTGATTCAATATAATAATCCTTGCAAAAAAAACATAAGTCACCGGGAACACTCAGCAGGTCAGGCAGCATTTGTGGAGAAAGGAAAGTGTCAACGTTTCAGGTCCACAACCCTTCGTCAGAACTGGGACATGTTGGGAGGGAGAGGCTTTAAAGGGCTAACAGAGAGGCGGGGGGCAGGGCAAGGAAACAAAGGAGAAAATGGGGTAGCTCGGGTTGTGCTTGTGGACAGAACCAAGGTGTTCGGCAAATCATTCACCCAATCTGCGTTTGTTTTCCCCAGTGTAGAGGAGACCACATTGTGAGCTTTTGGTAGTGCATGTAAATCGCTGTCTCACATGAAATCTGTGTTTGGGGCCCTGGATGGCGTCACCTTGGGACATCTTCCTGACGTGAAAGGCGCTATACAAATGTAATCTTGTTGTTGTTGGACAGTGATATGAGAAGAGGTGAAAGGGCAGGTATTGCATCTCCTGCGCTGGCCTGGGAAGGTGCCGGGGGAAGGAGAGCAACTGTTGGTGGTGATGGGACCACCCTCTGGTCTCAAAATTGATTTAAACAATTTCAGACCCTAACAGCTCACCTTCCCCCTCTTCTATGACCATTACCACATCATCTTGGTCCCAGACACACCTTTTCTCTCCCTGATCTGCCTGTCAATAATAAATTGGTCATTTTCAATCTACGACTGATTGTGGGACATTGCTGTGCGCAATTGGCTGCCGCGTTCGCCCACAAATATACAGTCAATTCACTTTACAGTGTGTTCTGTGAAGCGCTTTGGGACATCCTCCCGACGTGAAAAGCGCTATATCAAATGCAAGGATTATTATTATTATTATTATTTGTTGCAAGTTCTTTTCCCCCCCTTTTTGTTCTGCATTATTAACACCTCTTTAACCCATCATCCCCCGTCCTCTACCCCATTTTCTCCTTTGTCTTCCTTGCCCTGCCTCCCCCTCTCTGTTAGTCCTTAAAAGTCTCTCCCTACCAATATGCCCCAGTTCTGACAAAGGTCGTGGACCCGAAACCGTGACTCACTTTCCTTTCACAATAGATGCTGCCTGACCTGCTGAGTGTTCCCAGCGACTTCTGTTTTTGTTTCAGATTTCCGGCATCTCCTTGCATTTGCTATAGCGCCTCATCAGGTCTACCGAGAAGTCTCAAAGAATATACTGGAAAGTGAATCGACTGCATATTTTGTGGGACGAATATAGTGTAAAGTCAACATATAAAAATTTATATGCAATTGAGAAAAGTGATTGGTTCTAAGCTGAACTCATAAAGCACAATAGGGAGGCTGTTTGGTTTTCAGAAGTGGAACTTTAACCCAGATACGAAAAAGGGGTGCGTGGATAAAAATATCTGGCTGCTTTTCATGTGGAAATCGTTCTCAGTTGTTGCTGCAAGTCAGTGGTGAGTGATCTGTGCATGTTGCGGTTGAAACTATAAGGACAAGTGTATTTTCTTTGCTTGTTGTGTTGTGGACATGGCAGCCCCCCCCACACACACACACACACAGAGGAGAGCAGAGCTCACGCAGCCTTTCCTGTTTGCACAACCCCGGGTGGTATTTGCTGCGATCGGCGAAATAAATGTGTGAGAGAGGGAGGTCTGTCTGCCTGTCCGCCTGTCTCGCTGCCTTGCAGCTTCACGCTGTCAGCTGGCAGTTTTTAAGGGGAACACAAGGCAGGGAATGCGGACAGGCCGGTGCAGATGCTGAATCCCCCACAGGCGTGAGGATCTGGGGTGAGGTATGTGCAACATTCCCGGGTGTCCACAGGCCCAGTGTGTGTGTGTGTGTGTGTGAGAGAGAGAGAGAGAGAGAGAGCAATGTTCATTCAGTGTCTCCACAAACATCTGTATTTTCTACAGTGCCCTGACCAATAACTACAACATGTGGAGCAATGGTGACAATTGTATTTGGGAATAGTTAACTGTGTTCAGCCCAAGTGTTTAACTGTATTTTGGCATCCAGAGGATCAGTGTGTGTGAGCGCTGTCATTTTCATGGCAGATAATGAACCGTCTCCATGTTTGGTGCCGTATGGATCTTCCATATGAATGGAGTCACAAGACAAAATGCATCTCTGACAACTTGTTTCAGTTCCTCCGAAGTTTCATATCACTGTTTTGTAACGGGGTAACAGGACTTTGTGAACACCCTGTAAAGTGAAAGGAAGCCTTTGTCCTTAACGGAGTAACAGGACTTTGTGAACATCCTGTAAAGTGAAAGGAAGCCTTGTCCGCTGCCCCACCCCCCTCTCCCCCACCTGTATTGAGTAGGAGAGAAATTGGTGGGAGAAATCTCCTCCCCCACCCCGGGCCAGATTCACTTTACTTATATCGCATTTCAGAGTCTGCCTTTACGCTCTACCTTCACAAAAGTAGTACAGTATCCGACTCACACACCACTCGCTCTGGGAACCAACAACAACAACAATAAGATTACATTTGTATAGCGCCTTTCACATTGGGAGGACGTCCCAAGGTGCTGGACAGTGTACAGCATTTCAGACCCGAGCTGGGGTCAGGGGGGGAGAGGGGAGGGGAAGAGATATGACATGATCGAAGAGGAGGGTCTTGAGGCGGGACTTGAAGGAGGCTAAGGAGGGGGTGAGGTGGAGTGACTGGGGGATGGAATTCCAGAGATTGGAGGCAGAGTGGCTGAAGGCTCTCCCGCCAATAGTGGGGCGGGTGGGTCGGGGGACGTGGAGCAGGCCAGAGCCGGCTGAGTGGAGGGAGCGGGCGGGTTGGTAGGGGATTAGGAGGTCGCAGAGGTAAGGTGGGGCGAGGCCATGGAGGGTTTTATATGTGAGGACAGGATCTTAAACTGGACCTTCTGAAGAATAGGGAGCCAATGGAGTCGGGTGAGAATGGGGGAGATGGGGTCACGGAGTTTGGTGCAGGAGAGGACACGGGCTGCAGAGTTCTGGACTATCTGCAGCCTGTGGGGGTAGAAGTTGGGAAGGCCGACAGCAGGGCGTTTGCATAGTCGAGCCTGGAGGTCCATACGGAAGATGTGGCACCGAACATGGAGATGGTTCATTATCTGCCATGAAAATGACGGCGCTCACACACACACTGATCCTCTGGATGCCTAGATGCATGAGCAAGAGTTTCAGCGGCCTGAGGGGTGAGGTAGTGGCAGAGTCGGGCGATGTCACAGAGGTGAGGGAAGGCAGAGACTTGATCTTGAATGTGGGGGAGAAAAGACAGTTGAGGGTCGAACAAGACACGTAGTTCCTGACTGACTTGGTGAGTTGTAGTGTGCAATCAGAAACCTCTGCTCATGACAACCTGCGCCTCATACTCTCAGGAATTAGATAAGTCGGGTCCGTCAGTCCAGCAAGAGAGTGCACAGTCCAATTTGGATATGCAGAAATGTACGTGTGGGTGGTGTACCTGTGTGGAAATCGCAGTCTGGTTCAGATACTATTAAGCACAGTGATAGGTTTTTTACATGTCGGCTGACCAATCTTAAACATCATTGGATGAGGTTTGGCAAGGGCTTAGAGAAGAGCAACAAGATGATTTAAGAGTTTAGATATTTCAGTGATAGTTTGAGAAACTCAGCTGAGCTTGTTTTTATTTCAGAAAATTTTTTTTTTAGGGTGGTGGGGGGGAAGACCTGATATTGCAATATTGTTTTGCCTGATGCCTCTGACCCGAGCCCCTCTCCCAAAACGCCTAATAATAATCCCTTGAAAAAAACAAAACAATAATAAATTGGTCATTTTCAATCCATGACTGTTTGTGGGACATTGCTGTGCGCAATTGGCTGCCGCGTTCGCCCACAAATATACAGTCAATTCACTTTACAATATATTCTGTGAAGCGCTTTGGGATGTCTGGAAGACATGAAAAGCGCTATATCAAATGCAAGGATTATTATTATTATTATTAAAATGCCTCTACTTCTGCTTCCCACTCTTTGCTACTCACACAGAATTCTCTCCTGCTCCCCTCCTCAACTGCTCCCCTTCTAGACCCTACCACAGACTCCCTCTCCTCCAGTCAGGGATTCCTCCACCGGGCTCATCAGTGTACTTATCCACACCCACACCCTTCCTACCTTCCAAACCTCCCCCCACCCCTCCAACACCACAGGCACTTTACAGGGTGGCCCTCATCTCTCAAACTTCCCTCAGTCTCTTCCTCTAATTCTCTGCCTCCTTTCCCTCCTTTGAGCACCTCTCTCCTCTCATTCCTCCGCCTCTGCACTGAAAGCCTGTTCATAATGACCAACTTCAACCGTAACCTGTGTTACCCACCAGGTACCTGTCCTCCACCTAGTGAGGTCTCAAACCTGGCAGCTAATTTGCACATAGCAATGTCCCACAAAGTGCCATGAAGTCAATGACCAACTTTATTTGGGGGATTGTTGGCCAGGCCACTGGGAGAGAGAAACTCCCTTCTCTTTAATGTTTCCTTGTGTTAAATTGTTGAGGAAATAAATTACAACGGTCCTTCCTGCACTATCCAGGAATTGTCTGTACTTAACCCACGTTGAATATTTATTGTACTTTTTTGGTTCTAGAAAGATTACACGCTGAAGATGGTAGTTGCCAAATTGTGGACACTGCGCAAGCACTTTGAGGGTTTCCCTAAGAAAGATGACTTTGAACTAAAGGAGGAAGAATTGCCGGAGCTCAAGGATGGAGGTGAGGAGAATGTGGCAGAATTAACTATAAAGACACATTACTTTAGACGTTCACATACACATACACATTCACTACACTCTATCTTGGGAAGTGTTTTGAGATGTGGTATCAAATGCAAGGATCATTATTTTTAACTCCATCCTGGATCAACTTCATCACTGCAGGGAGACCAATCTGCCATTGATTCAATTCACATTGCCAGAAATAGACGTCTGGTTGTTTGATGATGTAAGAATCAAATGTGTTCTCACAGTGGAACCGCCAGGTCTAGTGTATCTGAATAAAATCTAAATAAAATCAAAAATAAAATTGGCATCTCACTCCATGGCTGTTTGTGGGACATTGCTTTGTGCAACTGGTTGCTGCGTATCACCCATAAAATACACAGTCACTCCACTTTACAGTATATCCTGTGAAGCTTTGAGATGTCTCAATGATGTGATAAGGCATTATGTCAAATGAAAGGATTATTAGTTTATATATATTCCTTACTCTTTGGAATTCACCTGATAAACTGGGATCAGACGTTAAACCAAGCTCCTGTCTGCCTCTTCAGGTGGACCTTAAATAACCCATGGCATGATTCGAAAAGGGAAGGGCATTTCTCTCTCCCAGTCATCTCAAAGTGCTTCACTGTAAAGTGGCAGCCAGTACCACACGGCTATTGTGGGAATAGTTTTATCTGGGGGATTGTTGGCCAGGACATCAACGACAGCTCTTGTGGGAACAGTGGGAACAGTCACCCAGCAGGACCAGCCCTGCTCACTGCATTCACTCACAGGAAGCTGACCAGTCCACAGCGGATGCAGTGTCAGCAGCAGCAATTTTTTTTCCCTGCAGACTCTTATAACAAGGAGTCTAAATTTATAGACCCAAACACCATGTTAGTGTCAGGCTGCCCTGAGCAATGAGAAACAAAATTTTTATTACACGTTGTCCTGCACAGGGTGACCACAAAGTCCTGTTATCCCTGTTACAAAACAATGATATGAGACTACGGAGGAGCTGAAACAAGTTGTCAGGGATGCATTTCACCTCCTCACTTCATCCATGATGAAGCACAAAACATGGATCATTTTCTGCCATGAAAATGATGGAGCTCACACACACTGATCCTCTGGACATCTAAATACAGTTAAACACTTGTACTGAATACAATTATCATCATTCTTCCACATGTTTCGGTTGTTGGTCAGTACACTGTAGAAACAAAACATGGGGGTAACAGGACTTTGTGGACACTCTGTAGAATTCAACAAGGTGTTAACACAGTTGTTTTAGTCATTGTGCTAAAATTTATCACTGAATTGTTTTTTCAGAAGTGCTGCTTGAGGCTGTGTTTCTCAGTGTGGATCCCTATATGAGGTAAGATATTTAACTCGTATCACATAATTTGATTTCTATATCTAATGCCCATATAGAAAGCCATTCTTTAAGCAAATATACTCTTGTACACATAAATGTGAAAGGCAAAAATAGTGAAACCTATGTGACATTTGAGTCAGTTACTGATTGCTGTGTCACCTGAACTCATAACAGCAATAACCTACATTACCCATATAGCTCATTGATATATGACAGGGGGCAGAGGAACAAAAGTGGAATATTGTAAGCAACATCTCCTATAAATAGATTTTATATAAATGGCCATTTAAATAATGGATATTACGATTATCATCTTATATTTATCACAACAACAACAACAAAATTACATTTATAGAGTGCCTTTCACGTCGGGAGGATGTCCCAAAGCGCTGAACAGTTAGGTGCCGGGAACCGAGCATGGGGGAGGGGGGTGTAGGGCTGAGGGAGGGCAGAGAAGTGGGAGGGAGACCAAAGGAACGATCGAAGAGAAGGGTCTTGAGACCTGCCTTGAAGGAGGCAAGGGAGGAAGCGAGGCGAAAGTACTGTGGAATAGAGTTCCAGAGTGTGGGGGCAGAGAGGTTGAAAGCCCGGCCACCGATGTATTTCTACAACTCTGCCTTTTGTCACATCTTTTAGACTCTTATTTCCCTGATCATCGTCCACCACTACACTTTGAGATGTTCTTTTACATGAAAGGTTCTATACAAATGCTTTCAGACATCTCAATGATGAGCTAAGGCACTGTACCAAATGCAACTATTATTATTATAATAAATGCAACCTGATGTACATTGGTCAGAAAAACACTTCCTGTAAGATCTGTGGCAGTTGTGCGCTTTCATTGTTGAAGATCTCAACTTTGTTTGGTTTTGAGGGGTTTATGGTGTTGCTGTAAAGTGTATACGTCCCTTTTGTTCTGATACTTCTGTGTCTCCACCTACTGAATCCTGACCATGGGCCTCTTAAGAAGATTGTGTGTCGTCTTCTTATCTGTGGTTTGCTCCATGCACCAAAATGTTTTCTGCATGTTGACACGTTCATTAAATTCTTTCTATTTTCAGGCCTTACAGCAAGAAAATAATGAAGGAAGGTGACATAATGATCGGCACACAGATAGCCAGGTAAATTAACGCTGTATACTCAGTCAAAAAAAATCATGTGAGCACAGCCAGGCCTCTGGTTGTAACAGGTGGGAAGCCAAGCATCTCTCTAGCTGAGTGTGAGGAAATTGAGTGTTGCAAGGTGACTTGCCACCCATTGGGATTTTATTTTCCCTGTCTCTTTCTTTCCTCCCCCCCCACCTGGAACACCACTGGGATGAAGGCTTATTCCCTTTGTACAGAATTATGGTTGCCTTATTGCAATGCAAACATGTTGGCCTTTGAGAGTTGTGCCAACTTGGGTAAGGTGAGTTGTTGAGAGAAATCCCATCACCATGCTTAAGAGTCTCTAAACCAAACTACTGAGAATTCCACACCTGAGTGATCTCCATTTGTCTGGTATTGAGTTTCACTCCCTCCCTGGAGGGACACACCCTGCTTACTTAATCCCACAAAATTTGGGTATAGATTGGCAAGAGCCAAGGCTTGAGGCCCCCAGAGTGTGCATTGGACACACTGCTCTACATTTGATGCCCTATACCTTACAGTAAGAAAACGTAGTATTTATCAACGATGAAGTAATGCACGCAATTTGGATATGAACCAATTGTTTCCTTTATTATAGTCCCATAATTAATGATTATACAAAGAGCAATAACTCACTACCACAAAACATGATAATGGGAGCAACCAGGTTTCAGTGGATAATAGTGATGACTTATCATATCTCTTGGGAGAGCAAAAGCAGCTGGGAGTCGGATCAGATCTGAATCTCCCCGATCCTGGCTAAAACACCCTCAATTATACCCAAAATCTGAATCACTTTTGTGCATGTGCTAGCAATGTTCCCGCTACAAGAATGCTCCCTACCTTCACGCGATGAGTGGGGCTAACCCACATTCCTGTACCAGTTCTGTTCCTTGTACAATAACAAGATAACAAGTGCATCAGATGTACTTTCACACGTCAGTAACTAATTTTCACTCACTTTCATAAGGAATGCCATCTTATTTAACTCTTTCCTCACACCATATAAATAAGATTATTTTATTGCTTGATGGACTTCATTGAGAAGAGCTTATTTGTCAGCCTGGCTCAATGGTAGCACTCTGACAGATTAGCAAGAGCCAAGGCTTGAGGCCCCCAGAATGTGCATTGAACTGAGTCAGAGGTTCGTGGGTTTAAGCCCCAGAGTTGGGAATTAGAACTCGTATAGTGGATCTCATATAGGCTCAGATGACACTCCAATGTAAGGCTGGAGGTGTACTGCATTGTTGGAAGTGCAGGCCTTTGGATGAGACGTTAAACCAAGGTCCCCTCTGCCTGTCCGGGTGGAGGTGGAGGTCAAAGATCCCATGATACTATTCGAAAAGAGAAGAAAGTTCATCTACAAAACACTTTACATTATATCCTTGTGAAGCATATTCATCGTCCTCCTGACATGGTAAGGTGCTAAATTAAAAGTAAGGATTATTATTATTCTCTGATCTGTGCTGTGATCCCACACCTGGTAAAGTCTAATCAAAGTCATTTGAAATGGAAGGGTGAAAGCTCATGTGGATCATAAACATCAACATTTATTATTTGTGCCGAATAGAGTTTTTCCGTGCTGTAATGTTTTGTGTAGTTCTATGTGGACAACAACAACAACTTTCACTTACATAATGTCTTCTACACAAGGTAGCGTCTCAGAGTGCTTGAAGACGTTAGTGAAGTAGCTAAACTTTACAGAGACTGCATGTAAATATCTGTATGCCTTTACATATATTGCTTTGAAATATAGGGGTCAAATTATTTTTTTCCATCTTTTTACAGGGTCTCGGCAAGTAACAATTCCAAGTTCCCAGTAGGTTGTTATGTGGTGTCAAGTAGTGGGTGGAGAACACACACAATTTCAGACGGAAAGAAGATAGAGTTAATGCTCGCTGACTGGCCAGAGAATATATCTAGATCCCTAGGTCTGGGAACTGTGGGCATGCCAGGGTAAGGCTAAGGCTAAGGATTGATGAGCTATGTTGTTGGGAATATTTCAAAGACTGCTATTAAGATTCTTAGCCACAGACATAATCTGTCTGGAAGTCAAAATACTGGTTTTGGCTCATTAAACTGTGGTACTGTGTGGTTTCTAAAGGACTTTCATCCTCCATAAACCGTTTGATCAGTGTAGATTTGTCTATGTTGCAGCCTGGCTCAGTTGGTTACTCCCACCTCTTGAGTCAGAAGATTATGGGTTCAAGCCCCACTTGACGTTGAACTCACATAGTCTAGGCTGACATTCCAGTACAGTTCTGGGGAAATGCTGCATTGTTGGAGGTGCCGTCGTTTGGATGATACGTCACTGCACTTTACAGTAAAATTCCTGTGAAGCGCTTTGTGGCGTCCTCAGGATGTGAAAGGTGCTATAAAAAGTGTAAGGATTATTAGTCTCAGTTTCAGTCTTAACCCTTTTATTTTCCAGGTGCACTGCTTACTTTGGCCTTCTGGAAATCCTTCAGATAAAACCGGGGGATGTCCTGCTGGTCAATGCTGCCGCTGGAGCTGTTGGGATGTCAGTTGGACAAATTGCTAAGATAAAGGTGAGTATCTGCATAACAAATGTTTCTCAAAGACAACACTATATCTTTGATTTAGGTATGTTGCAAATATGGCTCAGAGATTTTCTTGACAGCAAAAATTGACAACAGGAATAATGGCTGCATTGCATTCATCTTATTGCGCCCACAAAAATACACAATCGATTCACTTTACAATATATTCTGTGAAACGCTTTGAGACGTCTCAACAACGTGATAAGGCGCTATATCAAATGCAAGGATTACTAGTATTATTATATTGGTTGTCATTTATCTCGTTAAAACTTTATGAAACAACCACCCAGTGATGCATGATGGAGTCCCGTAGCATAGAGCACTTGCCTCGCAAGTGAGAGGACCCGGGTTCAATTCCCGTTCGAGGCGAAACCTTCGGCAAGGTTTCCTTACTCCACACATCTCTGTTTACCTAGCAGTAAGTAGGAGCCTGGTTGTTAATTGATTGGTGGATCGCTTTCCAGGGTTAATAATAATCCCTCAAAAAAAAATTGCTCACTGAATCCACGACTGTTTGTGGACATTGCTGTGCGAGTTTCATCCACAAAATACACAGTCAATTCATTTTGCAATATATTCTGTAAAGTGCTTTGCAACATCTTAACGACATGATCACAAATGCAAGGGTTATTAATATTATCTTTAAATACAGGCGATGTTGCAAAGAAAATTAGAAACGTGGAGTGTTCAGCAGGCCTTCGGTTTGCACTGGTCTCAGTTGCGCACCCAAGGGGTCAACGGGACAAATGGAAATTCTTAGGTCTTAATTCCTTATGCAAAATGGACGTTGTTTCCCTCAGGGCTGTAAAGTAATCGGCTGTGCAGGAACAGATGAGAAGGTTGCTCTGCTAAAGCAAATGGGGTTCGATGAAGCATTCAATTACAAGACTGTCAAATCACTTGACTCTGCTCTGAAGCAAGCCTCACCCGATGGCTATGACTGCTACTTTGACAATGTAAGCTGCAGACCTGTAATCTTTGTCACAGTTACTATTTAACCAATGTAAGTCATCTCCAAAAATATAACATTTTTATATATTAAAAAAATTGACATGAAAGACGTTACACTTTAGCTGGGGATTTACAAGTGCTCTGGGACACTACCCTGCGTGAGGGACACTAAATAAATGCAAGCTGTTGTTGATTTACTTTGCGCACAACTTTGGCCTGACATCAAAGTCGGCATTCCTTAATGTCTATTGCAATGTCAGATGTTAATGAGGTTTCCCTATCATAATTTTGAATGCTTAAGGTGCTACATGTAATGTCTACTTTGTTGGCTTGGCAGGTAGGAGGAGAGTTTTCTAATGTTGTTATAAACCAGATGAAACAATACGGGAGGATTGCAGTGTGTGGAGCAATCTCTGGCTACAACGATGTTGAGCCACAAAAAGGTAAGGGTTTTCCTGAAAACCTTGGTATGTATTCCCCTTTCAGCTGAGAGGATACTCGCTTTAAATTTGATAGCATTAAACTTGTTTGGATTTTTTTTTCACGCGAAGAATACAGCTTAGCTCACTAGATAACACGCACACCTCTGGTTTAGAAGTTTGTATTTTTGTCAGTTCGTAGTCCAGTGCTGTGTTAGCACTGCATTGTGGCAGGCAGGTGCCATCTTTCAGCTGAGACATTAAATTAAGGTTCAGTCCAACTGTTCAAGTGGCCATTAAAGATCATATACGAAAAGCAAAAGGAGTGATACCCAGTGACCAGGCCAACAATGCCCCAGAACATGCATATTAACTTCATGACCGTGAGACTGCTCGTGCAAATCTGCGACTGTTCTGTTTGCCTGCAAAAAAGTCACGGTACCTACCTGACAGTAATTTTGAGTTGCTCGAGACATTTTAACATGACAAGAATGCAAGTTTCCTTTTCTTTCCTCCACTCCCAAATAACATCACAAATCAGAATAATTGATTGTGGTTTGATCACCTGGCAGATGAAATGTTTATTCTGTAGCTCCTCAGACGCTGGATATTTAAAATATTCTTTTCCCCCTTACATTAGGTGCTTACATCCAAGCTCCCATGATCTTTAAGCAGCTTCGGATGCAGGGATTCGTTGTTTCAACGTGGAATAACAGAAGGGAAGAATCTGAAAAGGCATTAATGGCTTGGGTTAAGGAGGTGAGAAATTACAATCCAGAAACTTTTTATTAACAATAATAATAATAATTGTTGCATTTGAAATAGCACCTTATCACTTTGTTGAGACGGCTCAAAGCGCTTCACAGAATATACCGTAAAGTGAATTGACTGTGTATTTTGTGGACGAAACATATTTACACAACTATATCTGTATTAGTAATAGTAGCCTTTGTGTTGACTATCCCCATCAGTCATGTATGTTGGCTGCTCTCCCCCCCGTCAGTCAGTTGCATTGTTGGGGAATTGTTTTTAGTTACATGTTTGTGCAAGAGTTATCCAGGGTGTCTGAACAGGATGTGGAATACCAATCCAAGTAAAGTGGTAGAAGTACAGTCTATTGTGCGATTCAGGTGGGAAGGGGACAGGTGTATGAATGATAGAAGCTTATCCAGATGCAATCTCTGCATTTGTACAGTTCCTCTGATTCACTGTTGTTGTTTTTTGTTATCTCCTTGCTGATGAGAGCCAGCACCTTGGGACGGCTTCCCGACGTGAAAGACGCTCCATCAAATGCAAGGATTATTAATATTATTACAAATCTAATAATAAAGTTGTTGTTGGTGATGGTGCAGATCGATGGGTGGAATGGCTTCCATCTGTGCTGTGAAGTTCTATGATTCTATGACACACACCAGCTGCCTGTTAGATCTCTTCAAAGACTTTGATACCTCTTTTTTTAAATTTGATTAATTTTATTTCCTGGCTGTGTGTTAAGATACAGTTCCACAGGAGTCAACCACCCTCCAGGACCTCGGCTGTTCTTTACATGTGAGCCTCGTTCATAAATGTTGGCTTATTAAGACTGGGGAACAGTGCAGTCAAGGTTGATACTAGTCTTGCTGTGTTGTCACACTTGTGTACTTGCCAACAAAGTTCACCGGATGGAATCTGGACCCACCTCTATTTGTCCTCCCTCTCTGGAAAACTGTCCTGAAGTGTAGTCTAAAGATTATGACAGCTCTCAGTTCTCTGGGCCATTCTCCATGTGGGAATCTGAACATTTAGCAATGAGGGCAGGAAACACTCACAAACATGTTCTTCCTCACGCAAGAATTGGGGCTTTTTCTTCGCACTAGACATACACTATCAAAACTTGAAATAAGCCATAAAATTACACTAAATTGACATTTAAAATAATAATAAATAAATAAAATGACTATTTGTAGCCCAAGTCTGCCTCAAAACGTTTCTTCCTGGGTTTACTACTTCATGGAGTCCCATAGTGTAGTGGTTAGTGCGTTCACCTCGCAAACGGTTCGATTTCGCGGGTGAGGCAAAACCTTAGGCAAATTTCCTTACTCCGCACATCTCTGTTTACCTAGCAGTAAGTAGGAACCCGGTTGTTAGTCGACTGACGGATCGCTTTCTGGGGGTAATAAACCCTCCAAAAAAAAATTATTTGTCATTCAATTAACAGTGAAATCCACTGTTTGTGGAACCCTTCTGTACACAATTAGCTGCCGTATTTTGCTTACAAAATACTCAGTCAATCCACTTTATAATATATTCTGTGAAGTGCTTTCAGATGTCTCAAAGACATGATAAGGTGCTGTATCAAATTCAAGGATTATTATTATTATACTTAAAGCTGGCATTGTGCTCATAATTAAATAGGATGAACAAGGATTTCTGTCTGTTACCATGGGTTGACTTATGTTGGTATCATCTGTCACCTAAACTTTAGTGGGTAACTTGATAGAAGTGGTGTGGCATTTTCACCTCAAATATATGTGTGGCATTCTTCCTGTGAAACTAATGATTACCTTTGACGTGTTTGCCAAACAGAGACATTGTACTCAACCTGTATCCAACCTATCAGTGCTTTAAAATTGTCAATCAGCAACTCAATTTTGCTTGTATGTGCGCACCAGTGAGACAGTATATTTTTAGTGTGTTCAGGATGTCCACAAAGTCCTGTTACCCCCTGTTACAAAACAGTGATATGAGACTATGAGGAGCTGAAACAAGCTGTCAGAGATGCATTTCACCTCCTCACTCCATCATGTTATGGAAGACTTCACACTGAACCTGGCATCAGATCATTATCTGCCAGGAAAGTTATGGCGCTCACACACACTGATCCTCTGGACATCTAAATACAGTTAAACACTTGTAGTGAATACAATTAAGTACTTCTACTTCTAAACTTCTCTCTACCAACCTGCCCGGTCCCTCCGTTCATCGGGCTCCGGTCTGCTCCATGTCTCCCGCCCGTCCCGCCCTACCATCGGTGTCCTGGCTTTCAGCCTCTCTGCTCTCACACTCTGGAACTCCATCCCACGGTCCCTTCGCCTCGCTTCCTCCCTTGCTTCCTTCAAGGCCGGTCTCAAGACCCTTCTCTTCGATCGTGCCTTTGGCCTCCCTCCCACCTCTCTGCCTTCCCTCACCGCTACACCACCCCTCCCCCATGCTCGGGCCCCGGCACCTGACTGTTCAGCGCTTTGGGACGTCCTCCCGATGTGAAAGGCACTCTATAAATGTAATTTTGATGTTGGTGTTGTGCTAACTACAATTATCATCATTCTTCCACATGTTTCAGTTGTTGTTCAGGGCACTGTAGAAAAAAACATGGGGCTAACAGGACTTTGTGGACACTTTGTACAATGTGCTGTAATCTGAATTCAATTTTTTTTGTCTTCAGGGTAAACTGAAGTCCAAGGAACACATCACGACAGGCTTTGAGAAGATGCCCGATGCCTTCATGGGAATGCTGAAAGGAGAAAACATTGGAAAGGCTGTGGTGAAAATCTAGCCTTAATCTCAATCTTACCTTAAATGTTAAATATTGTGAAATTTTCATCCATGTGGTCGTCAGTTCCCGTCTTGATTTTTCCAATACAATCCTTGCTGGTTTCTTTAGCTTCACTATTAACAAGGTTCAAATGATTCAAAGCTCTGCCAACTGTGTCCTCACCTGTAACAGTCTCCACCCTGCCATCACCCCTGTTTTCTTCAGGATCAATTTCACTTTCAAATCTCTTCATGCCTTGGCATCTCCCTATCCCTTCGATCGGCTCACACCCCCACTCCACTACCAATAACTTGTGTAAAACCTTGCCTTTTAAGCTCAAAGTTCCTCAAAACTGAGGTTAAGTTGTGAATCAACACATTGAGATTTCACCACAGCAGCCACAATAAAATATTCTTATGCAATGGCTTCCTTCAATTTCTTACCCAGCTCGGGTCCGTAACCCTGTCTGTCCAGTGCCTTGGGATGTCCTCCCGACAATAAAGGTGCTATACAAATGTAATTTTGGTGGTGGTGGTGTTACTCTGTCTTGTCGAGTTTCAAAGACGAGAATGTTTTCAACAGGCAACAACCTGTTCATTGTTCACCTCTTACACTCCTTCAATTCTACAACTTCATATGTTTAGTGGAGTAAATGTAACCAGAAGGGAATCCAGGCAAGAACTTTGATAAAATGTATTGTGCAATGATCATTATTGATTGTGTGAAATAATCAATGATTGGGTGATCTGGTTGAGGTGTTTAGAATCATAAAGGGATTGGATAGGGGGGCCACAGAGAAACTATTTTCTCTGCTGGTGGAATCCAGAACAGGGGGGCATCATCTTAAAATTAGAGCTAAGCCATTTAGGAGTGAGATCAGGAAGCATTTTTTCACGCAAAGGGTAATGTAACTCTGGAACTTTTTACCCCAAAAGGCTCTGGATGTTGGACCCATTCAAATTTCCAAGCCATGATCTAATAGAATGGCGCAACCGGCTCAAGTGGCTGAATGGTCTACTCCTGTTCCTATGTGATCAGACAACTGGATCTAATTTGTGTTTTTGACAGCATTCATTTAAGGAATCTTAAGTTGTACAAATTGGAACTCATTTGTGGGTACAAATTAATTATAGTTCTGCTAGTTGTGATCTTCATCCATGATCGCAGTTAGTTGCAGTTGCTTCAAAAATAGACATCCAAAGAGTTGGTGTGATGTACTTTGATGCCTTAGTTTAGAAATTCACTTTTGAAATCACCATAAACCCATAAACATAAACCCCATTATTATTCTATTGAATTAAGTTAAATCTAGCAATTTTTGAAATCTGTCGTCAGGGTATTGTAAAATAGCTTTAAAAGAGTAGATAACATATCTTCAGTAAGTCTAAATTTTTCTTCAAAGCTAGGATTTGATGCAAAAAACAATGCTTGACTGAAAACCTTAATTGCAGTGAAACGAAGTTAAGCGCTATGAATATTTAATATATTAAGACAATAAAAACACCTTAAACCACATGTGTACATTCTGAAGATACCCCAGTTTAAACAGCGAAGAACAAAGTTAAATAGGCCTCCCTGCACTCCTCTGCAGCCCCCTACCTCTCTGACCTCTCTCCTCAAAATAGTGCCCGTTGCCTTTGTTCCTCCGGGTCTGGCCTTTTCCTCGTCCCCCAAGTCCTCCGCTCCACCCTCGGTGGCCGTGCCTTCAGCCACCTTGCCCTGAGGCTCTGGAACTCCCTTCCTCACTCCCTTCGCCTCACCCCTTCTCTTCCTATTTTCAGGTCCCGGCTGAAGACCTTTCTTTTCGACTGCGCCTTTGGTCACCTTCCTCCCCCTACCCCTGGCTCGGCCCCAGGATCCGTTACTGTGAAGCGCTCTGAGACGCCGTCCAGCGTGGAGGGCGCTATATAAATCCAAGTTGTTGTAGGCACTGACAGCTATTGTGGTTTTATGCAGATCAAATTCTGATAGTAGAAAGTAGAAATTCTTAAGGAAAAAATGTATTGACAAAAGCAGGCTACCTAGACCTCAACAAACAACTAGGTACAAACCTCAAAAATGAAATTCCTTTGTCTACATTTCACAAAAGTCAGCTATTACAGTCTTTTTTCAGCTATGCACAATGTGTGATATATTGTTACTGATGAAAAGCCCAAGAGATAAATTGCTGCAGCTGGATTTAAAGAATTGTTTACATCTATAATTCAGTTTCACTAACCAGTTAACGATGGGGTTAATTTCAGTGTTTAATGGTGAAGTGTTTACACATGCTGTACTTGGTGTCACACAGGGAGGGCATTCCTCAATCATGTGCTGCAATGGGCAACTAACATCAACAAAATTACATTTATAGAGCGCCTTTCACGTCAGGAGGACGTACGGTTGGGTGTCGGGGCCCGAGCATGGTGGAGTGGTGGTGTAGGGGTGAGGGAAGGCAGAGAGATGGGAGGGAGACCAAAGGCACGATCGAAGAAAAGGGTCTTGAGACCGGCCTTGAAGGAGGCAAGGGAGGAAGCGAGGCAAAGGGACCGTGGGATGGAGTTCCAGAGTATGGGGGCAGAGAGGCTGATAGCCCGGCCGCCGATGGGCGGGAGACATGGAGCAGGCCGGAGCCCACTGAGCGGAGGGAGCGGTCAGTTTGGTAGGGAGTCAGCAGGTAGGTAGGAGGGTGCAACACTGTGGCAGAGTCTGGCAATGTTGCGGAGGTGGTGGTAGGCAGTGCCAGTCATGGGCGAGTGTGGGGGAGAAAGGACAGTTCAGTGTCAAACAAGACACTCAGGTCCCTGACTGGCTTAGTGAGGTTGAGTGTGCAGCCGTGAAGGCTGATGCTGCCAGGGCCTGAGGCGCGCAGGTGCTGGCGCGAGCCAATCAGGAGGGCCTCGGTCTTGCTGACGTTGCGTTGGAGAAAGTTGTCCCTCATCCAGGACTTGATGTCGGACAAGCAGTAAGTCAGGACGCCAGTAGTCCTGGAGTTCAGGGTGGAGGCAGAGAGGTAGAGTTGGGTCTCATCCGCAAACATGTGGAAATTTACCCCATGTCTGCGGATGATGTCACCAAGTGGGAGCACGTAGAGGGTGAAGAGAAAGGGACCGAGAGCCCTGAGGAACACCGCACGAGAAGTGCGGGGGCTGGAGGAGAAGCCATTTGCGGAGACAAAATGGAGGCGGTGTAAAAGATAGGACCTGAACCAGTCAAGGACAGAACCTTGAAGGCTGAGGTGGGAGGAGAGGCGGTAGAAGAGGATTGAATAGTCCACAGTATCAAAGGCGGTGGAGAGGTCGAGGAGGCAGAGGAGCCCTGGTCACACATGATCAGGATGTCGTTTGTGACCTTGACCCGATTGGAGGGTTTCATGGAGGGAGTGAGAGGAGAGAGCGAAGTTGGGAGGCAACGGCTCTCTCAAGGACCTTGGATAGGAAATGGAGGTTTGAGATGGGCCGGTAGCTGGATAGCTGTGATGGGTCGAGGAAAGGTTTCTTCAAGGTGGGGGTGATAGTGGCTGTTCTGAGGGGGGAAGGAACAGTGCCAGATGACAGGGAGAGGTTGATGATGTTGGCAACCATTGGGGCAAGATGGAGCTGGGATTTAAGGAGAGGAGTGGGGACGGGATCCAGGGAGCAGGTGGTGAGCTTCATGGAGGATATGGTAGTGAAGACAGAGGAGGGGTTGACAGGTTCAAAGTTGTGGAAGGAGGGATGGGTAATGGTCGGAGTGTGGGCTGGGGGTAGGGAGGGGGTGGAAGTTGGGAGGGCAGTAGCAGCTGAGCAAATTCCCTCGATTTTGGACTCAAGGAAGTCCAGTATTTTCTCGCAGTGAGAGACAGAGGAAAAAATCTGCGAGGTGTGACGGGGAGGGCGGAGGAGCCAGTTGATGCTGGAGAACAGGAGCCTGGGGTTGCCCTTCACCTCCAGGATTAACCTGGAGTAGAAGGACGATTTGGCCGAGGCGGTTGGGGCGTGGGGCACGGCGGTGTGTGTAACAAAGATGCCCAGCTCAATGAAATGGTTCAGAAACAAGAACCATCAGTTAGGTTTGGATACTCTCACTCGTGGTGATAGGTTTCTGCATATGTCAGACACCAGGCTGAACAAAAAAAGAAACAGCTCACAATTGATATTTAAATGTCACAAAGATATTGGAATACAGTGCAGAACAGAGAACTACCGCAATTAATAATTCTCAGGTGGACATTTACCAGTAGCAGGTGGTAGCTCGGTGCATGAAGTTAAGGTGAAAAAAGGACACTTCTGTGCAAAAATCCAAAGGGCAAAATTCATATGTTTGCAATGAACAAAATGAACCGAGAACCATATTTACCCAAATTGCAGCTCAATATCGTTTTCTTTAAACAATGCCAAGCTGTAGCAAGTAGGACAGTTGCAGAGATGGTGACTAAGACTGGAAATTGTCAGTTTGACATTTTGGTTATATACCAAATCTATTTATATTCTTAATTCCAAGAAATTCTAAGAGTCAACATTTTAAATTGAGGAAACTGGTTTTGGAAAGTTACTAGCAGATTTAATCCACAAGAAAAGTTATTCATTGTTACAATGTTATTCACAATGTAGATGAACAATTTTAACCCCTCACAAATGTTTCACTAAATAACTTCTTAAACATTTTGGTCTCAAACAGCGGTTTCAGTGCATCGTTACATCCATGATTACTGCAGTTCAAGGATTTTTTCTTTCAGCTTCTTTGGATATACCCCAGAAAACTGAAACACCTGAAGAAATAAAAAATAATGGTAATAATATGAAATGTACAGTTGCCAGCTTCAACAACAAATTCTTAAACATTAGAACAAAATCTGAACATTTTTTAGAATAGAACCTTTAAAGAAAGCATTTGAAAGGTTGGAAATTTTCAGGAATTAGAATTTAATCATCCTGTTCTAATGCGGTAGATCAGGTTCATAAAATCCCAACCAAAACCGGGGCGTGGCCCTTAATAATAATAATAATCCTTGTATTTGATATAGCGCCTGATCACAACAACAACTTGCAATTATATAGCGCCCCTCAGGCAGGGTAGGGTCCCAGAGCATTTGATAGTGGCGGAGCACAACTCTGAGCCGGGAGGAGGGAGAGGTGACCATAGGCACGGTCGAATAGGAAGGTCTTCAGGCGCGACCTGAAAATGAGAAACAAAGGGGCACGGCGGAGGGATAGAGGATAGAGTCAGTCGAGTGGAGGCAGCGGGTTGTTGGTCAGGGGGTGAGCAGGTCAGAAAGTCTTCAAGATGTCTCAAATCGCTTCGCAGAATATACTGTACAGTGAATTCACCAAATTTGTGGGTGAAAACACAGCAGCCAATTGTGCACAGCAGTGTCTCCCAAACAGTCGTCGATTGAGTGACCAAATTATTATTTATTTGTTTATTATTTATTATTTTGAAGGGATTATTACCAATCGACTAATAACCGGGTTCCTACTTACTGCTAAGAGGCTTGTGGAATAAGGAAACTTGCCTAACTTGGGCTTCCAGGCAATGAAGCAGCGATGGAGCCGGCACTTGCATTTGGACTTTTTGGGTAAATAAATGTCAGAGGCCAGGCTGTAATTGCAATATAAACTATAAATAGATATATAAATTAATGACCTCCCCTGACAATGCAGTGGTCCTCCGGCATTGCACTGGTGTGACAGCCTATACACTGAAAAGTGTGTATATAAATTAACTGACTGCTGTAACTCACTCAAAGA